AAATTAAAGAGTAAATTGGCCTTTGAAAATGGAAAAAGTCTTCCAAAGGGCCATGACTAAGCATGACAACCCAAAAATACACTACAAGAGTAAGAAGTCGATTCGCTTAGGGCAAGTGAAAATGAAGGCTTTTAGCAAAATGACGGCCCTGGTAAATGGGGCATAAAACATATCTATTTCCAGCGGAACCCATCTATTTCTATCCAAACTAACCTAAAAGGAACACCTACTGTGGATGTGTTGAAAACATGGGAAACCGTTGCTGGTTGGTATTTACAGGGGAATCATCATTCCAGAGCATCTTAGGTCTTGCAGGATTTTGTCCATCCACAGTATGGTCTTTAACTTTGTGTGGAAAATCATCACCTTCAAGCAACTCAGTTGCCCAACGCCGACCTTTCAACCTTTTGATTTTCCCATTTTGTCTGTGTTGTTTTTCAAATTAAGGGGTCCTTTGGGCAACTGCCCCCAAAACAAATAAACAAATACCCTGCCCCAGGCGATTCCATGGAAGCTCCAGGACTGTAGCTAGTCTTCTTCGTTGGTGTTCAATACCTCTTTGAATTTGAGAACCGGGCGAGGGGTAGCCGTCCATTGAATCATTGCGGTGGCCGTTTTATACCATTCCCATGGTCCTCCAGATAGCCGAGCCATCCATTGAATCAACAACTCCCTCCGTGAGCAGCTTGCCAGACGAGTCCAGCGCCTGTCCCTTTAAGGAAGCCATGCTGCTGCTGTAGGGGCGAGCCAGGAGATGCCCCCCGCAACAAAAACTGGTTCTTCAGGTGACCTTTAGCCAGGTAGTAACCTTCTGTCTTCTAACACCAAGGCAGTAACCCTACATGGTACTCACTGGATGGACAAAAAGTTGCCAGGCTGGGACTTTGGCAGCAACCTTTGCTATCCTTTTGCCTTCCGTTTTCTCTTCAGGAATCCTTCTCAAGTTGGCAACTCTCGGAAATGACTGGGTTCTAAAGAGAATTGATGAATGGGTGAAGAGAGTGGAATTGGAATCAACCCCTTAGAATTGGGCAACCCAAAAGCCGGGTGATATAACAATACCTTCAAACTTGATATAAATAGTATATAACTTCCATTCAATGGGCCCAAACTCGGACCCAGGAAGTCTGAGCCACCTGATTTTCTTCCCGCTATTTGGGGGTTCATGAGTTGGGGAGGCCATATATTCAGCTCATAGGTCCATAGCTGGATCCTTGCTGGGGCTGCCTTTTGTAGATTCCCCCTTCTCCTACTGTGGATGGACAAAATCCTGCACCAGTTGAAATCCATGGGAAACCACTGTTTGTTGGTATTTACAGGGGAGGCATCCCTCCAGGCCCTTTTAGGTGGTGCAGGATTTCGTCCATCCACAGTATCTTGGTTTTCTTTTGGTACTCTTTTAGTATGCTACAGGCGGGTAGGTCCACAAGCGTCGCATCCAACACGTTTCCAAGAAAATCCCTTCGGAACCGAGAACGCCCTTGACCATTGGGAACCTTTGGCTGTTAGGACTTTATCTTTTTGCCAACTAATAGGCTTTCCACTAAACCACTAAAAGTTAAACTTTTAGCAGGGGAGCAGAAAGCAACCGAGGTTAGATGAGATTCCTGGTGCTGATGTTTGAGGGGGAAATATCCGGAGCTCTTGTACCCTTTTTGTGTATCACAGAAGTGGTCATTCCCCACAGCCCTGATTGGGAACCAAAGACGGGTTCTGAAGTTTCCCGGTCGCCGTTAGGTGTCGCTGGATGGGCTGCTTGGGTCCGGCCCAGTTGCGGGATGGGAGCTGGCGGAAGAGGCGAGGCCGCCAGCGACGACTTTCCGGGATGATTGGACGAAATACCCTCCCTTCCACTAACATGGCACCTCACAGGCACCCGGTCCCTCCAAGAGCAAACTGCTCTTCCAAGTACCCCGCAGTTGAAATGATAGTAGGAGGGAGGGTAATGAACTGAGCTGATGAATTTATATTCAATCAAATGAACCAAACGAACTGAAATGCAATGAAGTGGCGTGAGTGAAATGAAAGAAAGGAAGCATGAACGAATGAAATCAGTTCGATTCAAATCAGACTAAATGAATGAAATAACTGAGATGCATGAACAAATTAATGAATGACGTGAAGTGAAATGAAACGAAATGACATGAAAGCAATGCATGAGGAAAACACATGAAATGAATGAAAGAAGGAATGGACGAACGACGGATGAATGAAGGAATGAATGGAAGGAATGGAAGGAATGGAAGGAATGGAAGGAATGGAAGGAATGGAAGGAATGGAAGGAATGGAAGGAATGGAAGGAATGGAAGGAATGGAAGGAATGGAAGGAATGGAAGGAATGGAAGGAATGGAATGGAAGGAATGGAAGGAATGGAAGGAATGGAAGGAATGGAAGGAATGGAAGGAATGGAATGCATGCAATGCATGGAATGCATGGAATGAATGAAATGGAATGGAATGGAATGGAATGGAACGCAACGGAACGGAATGAAATGAATGAATGAATGAACGAACGAACGAAGGAATGAAGGAATGCATGAATGAATGAATGAAGGAAGGAATGAAGGAATGAATGAATGAATGAATGAATGAATGAATGAATGAATGAATGAATGAATGAATGAATGGATGGATGGAATGGAATGAATGAATGAATGGAATGAATTGAATTGAAATGACATGAACTGACATGAAATGAGCGCATGAATGAACAAGAGCAACGGAATGGACAGGGATGGATTGAATGACATAATGAAGGAAGTGAATGGATTCATGGATGGATGGCAGGATGGACGGAGGGATGGATGGAGGGATGCATGGATGTCTGGATGCGTGGATGCATGGAATGGATGGAGTGAATGAAGTGAATGAATGCATGAAAAAAATGACTTGAAAATAAATGGATGGATGGATCAATGAATGAAAGGCAAGCGCCGTGTTTCGGGATGCTCGAGCAAGAGGCAATTCTCCACAATTCGCATCTCCTGACCACAGGTGACCTCTAGATGGACCTGGTACATGGAATGAATCCAGTCTAAACCTGTGCCCATGTACCGCCAGCTTTTATTTGGCCTGCATATTCAGATTATGTTTCGTAGCCAAAATGTGAGTTATGTTCGAAGGAAACCCCACGTTGGTGAGGAGGGCACGTTGGAATCTAATCACAACTTGGGCATCCAAATGTGGGGCCACACAGGCACCGTGCCCAGCAATTCACACCCAAAGCAATGTCCCTTCACGCCAGCAGCAAATGCCACGTGTCAGCAACGGACACACGCCCCTTACCTCTCGCACTATGCAACAATCAGCTGGACTGCATGTTCAGTTCCACAAAGGAACAGCGACATTTGGTTGGAACAAAGAACTTGATAACGCTTTTATGCGCAGTTCTTGGGTTGACTTCCACGTGTTGTCTTCACATACCCTTGGTATGTGGTACTCAGTCTGCTTTGATGAGGCCACCGGTTAACAGGGCTGATCAGTGAGCGGGGCGGGGCCCCCTCGGAAGCCCAATGGGCCGGGAGATGCATGCCGATGCTATGTGGGTGATTGTGTTTTGGCGGTGGTGGTGGTATCCCGGCGGTCCGGTAATCTCAGTTGCCCAAAGCAAATCGGCCTGTTGACCGCAATGTTGGTCCACTTTTTGTGGCCCCAAAAGGTTCTTTTGCTTCCAGGTCCCGAAGGGGCAAGTGAGCAATGTTGCGGCTCTTGAATTGGCACAAAGCTGAGCTGAGGGTTTCATGCCATGCTGGACCGTTCTTGCTGGAGAGAGCCCCAAAAAGACCGGTTGGCGGGCCATCGACCTGGGCCGAAGTTTGGTTCGTGGAATTTCTTGCCATGTCGTGGCCGAAAGCCGAGTCCCAGTTCAGTTTCAGATCATCAGATCCCAAAGCCGCAGGGTTCCCTTGGCAGTGTGAAGCATCACCCTCTTGGCCGTGAGTTTTTGTTGGTAGGGGCGATATTTAGGTTGGACGTATGGGGCTCTATGGGTTCCCTATCTGGCTGTGTGAGTCAAAACCAATGGTACCATTTTGGGGTAGGTCTTAGGTGCACCACCCATTTTAGAACCTTTTTTTTGGTGGGGATTGGGATGATCACTGGGGGTACGATTTGGATTTTGACCCATGGCCATCTGTTTTTTGTGGATCTGTGTGCCTGCAGCCTGCGCTTCTCAGGCGCTGGTCCCCTGCGAAATCAGCGCAGATCAGCTGCATGGCATCTATCCCAACAGCCGTGGCGAGGGCATTGGCCAGGGCCATTTGTACGCCCTCAACGTGCTGGCCGAGACTTCAAGCGAGAGAGCCAGCCTGTAAGGGATGGCTCGTCAGCTCAAAAAAGGCGAGCTTGCCACGTGGACGCTCTATAGAAAATGGTCCCCCAGCAAGGTGCCCGCTCTTTTGCCCCTTTTTTGGAAAAGAGAGGGTTCCCCCTACTGAAATAGACAAAGCCGAAAACAAGTTGGTACCCTTGTTCGAACCTCTCTGGAGGACTTAGATTGCCGGTAACACAAAGGAACAAACTGGAGGAGACCGCAAGGAGCGGGATGTTTGTGGATGGCCCTATTTACCGCCCAGACATGCCCGGGTCTGCGGTCTGTGCTTCTATGGGCCATTGCAACGCGTGAAGGAAGCTTTAGCTAAGGGGCGAAAGTGGGCATTGATTCTCGAGATCCATCAAAAGCGCACGGACAAATTGGCCAGCCCTTAGCAAGTGGCAGTGAACAGGAAAACCAACTCCACTGTACGGGGCAAGCTGCAACCCTTGGAAGACTGGAAACCTTCTAAAGGGTCTTGTGCATGTTCATGTTTGAGAGGGTAAATCCTGGAACCCAAGCACAAGCACATGGTGGAGCTTGCCGTCGTGATCAAAACTCTGGGAAGTCAGCGATCTAGGTACATCCCGGAGGAAAGCCACCCCCACCCACCCCGCACGCTTGCACCTAGTTCTTTGTTGTGGTCTTACTGGAATCGAAAGGGCGCAAGATTCCACTCCCTTGCTAGGCATCCGTGGCTGCGTCAAGGAGCGCGGGCGGAGTTGGTTCAGATCGAGGGTTTCAACATGCTGTGCTGTTGGCAGGGAAGGTGGATGGGGATGGGATGGGGATGGGGATGGGATGAAATGGGGCGGTGCCTTCCTGTCATGGCTTGCCTCCCCCCCAAGCCATTATGGGTTGCCACTCCGCGTGAATAGCCATGAAGCAGGCCCAGTCAAAATAAAACCTGTCAGTTTCACAGTCAGGGTTGATTCAACATGCTGAAATCATGATCTAACCAGCCTTCCTTCCTTTTTACCCTATTCTGTTTCTTGGTGGTTCCCAGCCATCCCCTTTGGTTCTTAGATGTTTTTGGGTTTAGTGATTGTTTCCACCAAGCCACTAAAAGTTCGACTTTTTAGCATGTGCCGACCAGGGCCTGGTCGTTGAGACACGTTGGCCCGGGAAAATGCGCGGGGAGAAGCCGACTTTGCGAGGAGTATTCCGACCTGCGCTGCGAGGTGAGCGGCAAGGCTTGCAGACGGAACTGAGCGACTGGGTTTTCCTGAAGGAACCTTAGAACGGGTTTCTCAGCTTCCCACCAATGGTTGGTTGGACGGGTTTCCCATTTACGTTCTGCTTTAAATCCCCCAACCACCAATCCAAACCAAGTAGCGGGAAGCTGAGGTTCTGATCGAAGGGTTCTGAGGGGGTGGGGGGGCCCCATGCTGACGGAAAAAACCATTTCGCACCAGTAGGATGGATGAAGGATCATGAAAACTGGGATGACCCACCCCCAGAGCTGGTTGTTCCCCGCCCAGACTGCACCTGTTGCTGGCTCGGGTCAAGAGGGTGTCGGAGGAACCACAACAGATGCTCTTAAGGAAATCACCACCGATGGTTTCTAGCCCTTCCCAGCCAAGCACAACGGATTCGAAATCTGGGCCCTTGGCGTTGCCTGGAAAGCCACAAGAAGGCACACCCAAACACAGTTGGGTCCTTAAAGGATACATTTGGGCCAGTCAAAAAATCACCTCTGCGGATCCCCTTGCAACAGGTGGCCTTTAGATCTCTTTAAACAGGAAGGTCCAAATGGCATCCTGCCCAGATGGGATCCCCAACTTTGTCTGACCCAAAAGAAAAGAGGCTCGGAAAACATCCAGCTTCAACCCAAAGCGCAAGGACTCCAACCACATGGGTTTGGGTAGACCTGCCAGGTTTCGATTGCGCAAGAAGCCCAACGTAGGCCCACTTGTGACAAGGGGAGCCCAGAAGATAATGCGAAATAGCCCACAGGGGCTTTCAACAGGGTCCTTGAAGGATACACCGGTAGTCACCGGGAAGTGTAGAAACCCTTTGCCAATGTCAATCAGCTGGTAAGTGCGGCTTTTTGTTTGGCCCCATATCCTTCAAGGAACCTTGAGTTATGTTCCATGTGCGTGGGAAGGTGTGAATCCCTTCGGAGTTGTCTCTTGGCCAACTATATTAAGTACCGATGAAAATGCAGAGACAACACTTGGACTGTAATACATTGTCAATCCAAGACCACTGATTATTTGAAATAAGAGCAAAAGGGCCGCGAGGGGGTCGAAAGATAGCTGGGAAGGTCAAATGGAGTCTCCTTGTTGCTGTTGGAGTCTCCTTGTTGCGTTGGGAAGGTCAAATGCCATGCAGTTGTCCAAAGTTACCATTCCGATTTCACATCAACAAACGTTTGCTCGGATCAGCCTGCCTGAGTTGGATCGGCTGGGATTTGCCCTCAGATGCACAGAGGGAACGGATTCAAAATATGACATCCATTGGAGAAAGCCCCTTTGGGGGAATGCCCCCCCCCAGATGGAAATCCTTGCTGGACACTTCTAGGAACAAGTTCCAGAAGAAACACTTTCGCCGGCCTCCTTTTGGGTTCCTTCCGTTTCTTTTGAGGGTAGCCTTGTTGGGGTGGGGGTTTAAAGGGAAATCAAAAGGAAAACTGTCATTTGCTGTATGGTCTATTTTCCCTTCTTGGTTTTAACGGGACTCGATTCACTACTGGACATAGCTTTGTCATTTTGTCCAGGTGGCAAAAAGCAAACATAGAAAAGAGCGCACACTCTTGTTTGGGGGGGCACGCCTTCAAGAATCATCCTACGCCCATTTAGGCCGCTCACGCGAGGCCGGTCCGTAGGATCGCTAGGTGGTGTTGGCCAACCGGGAGATGGGCTCCACCGCGGTGCTGCGGGTGACCGCCACGGAGACTGAGGCCAGCCGAGCCGACCCCGGAAAGCCGCGAAAAACGCTCGGGGGGGGGGTTCTAGAATTTCTAGAGCCGCACCCCAAAAACCGCGAAAAGTTGAAAATCACAACGGCATTCGTGGCTTTCCTTGTTTCATTGCTCCGGTTTTCCGAGCCGGTTCCCTTCCTTCCAACCCAAAAAGGCTTTCTCCCTTCATTGGAAACCACCAGTAAAGTGATTGACTTTTGATTTGGGAAGATCCAGCAACCCAAGTTCCAACCATTCTAGGGGGTTTCTCCCCTTCACTGTTGCTAGCATGATTTTAATTTGCTTGGCTTCATGTTTCGTAGGGGGCTGCAAACACAACATGTTTTCATAACCAAACCAAGGGCTGTGAAGTTCCAACTAGTCTTTTCAACCCTCGTTCTTTTCAAAATCCAGCTGTTTCCCCACCAAAGGGATCCAAGGAAGGAATGGGGAAGATTCCCCCTAGACAATCAGTGCTAGGTCCCCAGTAGTGCCCTTTCTCACCCCTTTTTTGGTTGGGAGGGTTCCCCTACTAAAATAGACTACAGAAAAAAGTTGGTACCCTTGTTCTAACCTCTCTACTGGAGGACCTAGTCAGCGAATATGTGTTTTGTTTGTGGTTCATTCAACGTGTGCCTGGCCTGTCGGAGCTTCTCCACGTCAGCGCTGGAGCCGCTTCTGGTATTTTTGGGGCAACCAGAAACGCAGAAAACAACCAAAGCCATCTGATGGGCCCCAAAAAGGCGACCCTCAAAAAGACACACAAAAACAAGATTGCCCCATGGAAAGGGGCTCTCAAAACGCAGGTCAAAGATTGGGTTCCTATTGTGGGCTCACCTTTTACCAAGCAGAAGGGGGCGCCGCCATTTTGGGAAGCGCCCAATCGGTACCCTGCGTTGTGGAAAGCAAAGCGCCTTTTTTGGAGTTGGGGCTTTTTTGGTGGGTCACCGCAAGAGTGCCCTTTACCTCAGGCCTTTGACACTTCCCTAAGCAGTTGTTTCACCACTATGTGAGTCGAGTTTTTGGGCAGCCTGGGCATGGACATCGATCTAAACATCACTTTGGCAAATTCCGGTGAGTGTTTTGCTTGGTGGTGATGGTGAGAGGAAGCTCCGTGGTATGGAATTCAAGGAAGTGCCTATGAGTTCCCCATCCTGTGGATTTCCCCCCCCCCCCAAACCCCTTGTTCAAATTCCCCGCTCAAATCGCATCAACCCCAAAACTACATGGCTCCAAGATTTTTCTGCCAGGTTCGGTTGCGGCAATTGGGTTCCGAAGGGGTTTCGGAAGCCCCTGGTTGAAATGGAGGGCCTGAGGCTCCAGTTGCCTCATGTTGCTGTCCTTGAGACAGCCCAGTGGTCCCATGTAAGAGCGCGCATCCTTTTTTGAGGCTCGGTGCCCCTTTTGGTGTGGTTTTTTCAAGGGAGGCCAAAAGAACACCCGCCATTCTGAGGGCGGCCATATTAGTGGAACCCTATCGTACTGAAAGAAAAAAGGGGGGCGTGCAACTTTCTGACGCCAAGGTGGGGGTTGATCAAAGGTCCTTTTCATGGGATGACCATTGCAGAAAACCCACTAAGCTGATATGTTTTTCCCACTAATCGGGAAAAGTTACCCTTGATCCTGTCAGGGCCGAACGGAGTATTGATCTTTTGGTTCCCCACTGTTTTCTTGGTTGATTCCCCCTGTTCCACAACTAGGTCCCCCACCAGTGCCCTTTTACCCTTTTTTGGGGGAGGGTTCCCCTACTAAAATAGAAGTTCTGAGAAAAAACAAGTTGGCACCCTCATTCCAACCTCTCAAATCTGGAGGACCTAGCTTTGGTGGCGATTTCAATGACCACAAGTCAGTTGCAACATTTGGGAAATCCCGCCGCCCCATACCGGCTCAAGGACCTAGACAACATTATTCTTGGTTGGTTCCCCTGTTGGTGGTGTTAGACATCGCCTTTTGGGCCAACTTAAAAAGACGCTGTGCTTCCTTTTGGTTGGGTGAGGTTCAAGAGGGAAACATAGGGAGCCCGGTGTTTTCTCGGTTGGTTCCCCGCCTTCCCATCGCTCCCTGAAGTGCTCCAAGGGAATGGACCTGGAGACCAAGCGCCGGTGGTGCGCGGAGCACGGCAAGAAGCTCCACGACGAGGTTGATTCGAATCGATGGAAAATCGGTTGCATGTGTCGAAGGGAGTGAGCCTGGAGAACGGCCTACAGTCGGATGTGTCTCAAAAACCACGGAATCGGAGCCCCAACAATGTGCGGTGTCCTGATGGTGTCCTTTCAAAACCAACAGAAACAAAGGTATTTGGATGTGTCTTTTATAAGGGAACCCCCAGATAGCTTCGGTTTTCCTGTTGGTTTCCCTTTTTTGAACTACCCCCAAAAGGGGGTGCCCTCAACACAAAGACAAGTCCATTTAGTGTGATTCACCGCGGCAAAGGAATGACGTTGGATACGGTTGCCAATTTGCCATTAGGCGAAAAGGGTTACTTGCCACAATCCATTTCGTTGAGGCACGCAGCGAAAATTATTGTTAACTGCGGCTCACCCCCAAAAACGTGCTTTCCCCGGCGGGTTTCCATTTCAACCAAGAGCGAGCCTCCTTTTCAAGCACACCCTGAGCCCGTTGGTGACTGTGGAATCCGCGATCCGGGTTAAAATGGTTTTAAAGGCCAACCCGGGTCACCATTCACCCATGTCTCCGTGAGAACATGAGCCCTGCGTGGACTCCACCCCCACCGCCATGTTTGTCGCTTTTTTGTTGGGAAAGGTGTCCCTTTAAAATCAACCAACACGAGGTATATTCAGTGGTGCCTGCATTTCCTCTTTCCAGTTGTTGTTATTGTTCTTGTTTCTTCTTTTTTTCTCGTAGGAGGGTTCACTGTAAGACCAGCCAACTTGTTAAGAAACACGTTTGCCCTGATGTTTCCAATGGTCGTCACTCCGGAAGTCCGGCGGGCCTGAGGACACTACTTCACAGTTTTGCTTGGCGTGCAAGATGTGGGTGTGTCTTTGTTGGTTGATGTCTATGTGTCTATGTTGCTTTCTTCCTTTCCTCCCTCCCTTCCGTCCCTTCCGTCCCTTCCTGCCTTCCCAAATCCTGCCTTCCTTTAATTTCCCCTTCCTTTCTTTCCTGTTCCTTTCCTTTCCTTCCTTTTTGTTTCCCTTCCATGGTGGCCTCTTATGAAGCGGGGCCGGATTCCGTTTTTGCCAATTCAAATCTTCCTGCCAGGTGATACAGAAATACCGGGCCGCGATGCCGAAGAGCGTCCGCCCCAAAGCCGACTAGGCGATGTCGGGCCGGCTTGCGCTTCGTTTGTTTCGCCTAGCCCAGCCGCATCAAAGAATTGAGCCCCGTATTTTTGAGAAGCGCGCCAGATCAGGGCCGATTTGAAGGTCCCCGCGCAGGAGTGTCAAACGCACCCGCGGAACCACTTGTGTAGGAACCCAGGGGGGCATTCAACTGCAGGCATGATGGCTGAGATGGCCCATGTTTTTGGAATGTGGCCGTTACCTGGTTACCTCACGAAGTTACACGCAACCGGGTGCGAGAGAGAGGGAGAGGGAGAGATTTTAGCTTCTCCACAGGAACCTAAGACGGAAGTGCCGGGCTTTCGACGGCAAAGCAAGGTTTGCTCAAGATATGGTGCCAGCTGACGCGCGCAATCACTTACTTGATTTTGTGGAACAACCGAATGAGACTTTTCCTGCAATGCTTTTGCCGAAAGGGGGGGCTATGTAGAGAACGGTATCAAATGTGTTATGCATTTGTTCGGATAATCCCCATACAGCCAGCAGTCGAAAATTGCCCACAATCAACTACCCATCGGAGGAAGACTCGTGTTCGGTGGAGCGAAGTTCCCGTCCGCAACATGGCAAAGATTGATGGTCGCATCCACATCTCTTCATGTGTCGACTCCACCACTGGCTTGATTACATTTGAGGAACAATGTGTCACTGGCGAAGAAGGTCTGCTGTGCGCAGTGTGTCTCGAAACAATCGGATTTGGGGCCAAGGCTGCTGCAGTTGTTGACACCCAGCGCCACTGCGCGCTTTGCCAGCTTGCGGCTGATCCAGAGAATGGCGAGGCACTGCGAAGTCACATCATGCACACGTGGTGTGCGGAAGGGGTCGGCCTAGAAGCCTGTCCTGCTTGTTCGAGCCCGTCCTCGGGGAAGGGCAAGAAGCCGGCGCCAATCGCTCGCATCGGTTTCGACATCGGAGGGGTCATCGTGCGGCACCGTGACATGTTTGCTGTTGGGAAACCTTTTATCCATTTCTGCTTATGGTCAACCACTTAACTGCTAAGATTTATTTGTTTCTCCCCATCCAACATCAACCAAGGTGAGGATTCGGAGGTCGACACCGCAGGGCTCACCGGAGAGGACTACCTGGAGGTGCAGGCCGCCCCTCTGGCGCTGGAATCCCTCGCAGCGGTCGTGGCCTGTTTGGGAGCTGGGAACGTGCACATCATCTCCAAGTGCGGGCCGGAAACCGAGTCGAGGACGCGGCAGTGGATGGAGACTTGACTGCTATTGGGTAACGGATCTTTAGACTTCAACTCTTTGGTTGAAATAGGGTGTTTTCCACTAAACCCCCAAAAGTGATTTGTTTTGGCAGGGGGGTCAACTGCAACCAAGGATAAAACGGGGTTCTTTGAGAAGACGGGCATTCAACGGGAGAATCTGCACTTCTGCCGAGATGTGAAGGATAAGGCCCCCATTGTAGCAGAGCTGCGCTTGGATGGCTTCGTGGATGATCGCATCGATGTCCTTCGGCCGATGCTGTCGCTTCCTGGGGTGAGGCCTCTTCTTTTCATGCCGAATCAAGAGGTGCTCGGACGGTCCCCGGTGTTCTGGATACCGCGCGTGGAGAAGCTGGCAGGCTGGGCAAGCGTGCTTGCCATACTTCAGGCGCCTGACGTGGGCCGTTCTGAAATCGAGCTGAGAGCTTCTGGGAGACGTGTGCCATCACCTGACATGCCAAAGCCCAGTCCCTAGTTCCTGACAAACGAGGACAAGCACCAGCCCTCAGTGGCATGCAGAAACAACTCTAAGTTGCTCCTGCACTGTGCATCCTCGGAACTCCAGTCCTGTACAGAAGGACATAGATGGACTGTGGCTGAGAGATACTTTTCATCTTTTCAGGGCTTTCTTGGTTGTTCTAACCAACAAGAGATGCCGAATGTACAGAGAAGTTTCCATGTAGGTGTGGGAATGATGGAACATGCGGAAAGAATCCGCAGAACGCACTCTAGTGGTGCTATGCCCAAGTAGTGTCAGCTCCAAAGATGCGACTTCGCAGCATGTCAGGTTGGTACTTAACATGACTGACGACACAGGACTCCCGTCTGGGTTTTAAAGGGATGATTCTAAGGAATGCTGTAACAGAAGCCGAACAAAAACTCTGGGGCTACGGTCCGAGGTCCCAACCCACCGTCAACGGCTCAGGGCTACCGGCTACATCCATGGGCGCAGCTTTTTTGGCGCTCGCGGTCGGCCTGGCAAAGGACCACTGGGTGCGGTAGGGGCGGGGGGGTTGGGTCTCATGAGCTCAGGGCGTGGTGTGTTGCTTCAGTCCTGTAAGGGCTTTGTTTGGCTTTAAGGTTGTTGGGATGCATAGGGGCGCATGTTGGGCAGTTCTTTGGGTAGGACATTCTGATCCCCCCAAGAGACATTTAAAACTACATAGGAGCCTGGGCTGGGACGGCTTAATGGATGTAGAAAGCTGAATTCGTCCGGGGGGGGGGGGGGGTCTCAAAATAGGGCTGCCCTTGGCCCCCGAGGGAGACAGAGGGTTGTGAGAAACTCCTGAATTCGACCAACATTGGGAAGCTGTGCTCACATCGCCCGAACAAGCATTCCAGCCTGCGGCTGTCTAACTAGTCCGCTAGCGTCTATGGGCATGAGTTTTGTCTGGTTCTCAACACATCGCAGCGCTGAATACATGCCCAATATACTAGAATTGTCACTATAGAAACCCCCAAGCCGGAACCCACAATTTTCAGAAACACCCTACACAGCGTGCAGGGGCCCAAGCACAAGTAAACCGAACCCCATCAATCCATTTGGGGGGCTTGCAAGCAAGAGTTTCTGGTTTGGGGCTGGTGCAGCACGTGAATGCCGTTCACCTGCGGGTTCTAAGCATCGGGCCCTCGCCCTGCAAGTCTCCTTCACCTGCGGCGCGGAACCCCGCGCGTCTTAAAACCTGCGAGCCCTCCAAGGCTCCGAGTTGGCTCTCAGCGGGGTTTAACCCCAGTTAACCCCTCAAGGACAAGCCGTTCCGGGAAAAGAAGGGGCGCCTATGAGCACCCTATGTTTTTGTCCCATGTCCAAAAGCCTGCCATTGGAATACCATCCCTAGGGTTGAGACCACAAAGAGGGGCCCCTCGTTTTTGGAAAACCGGCCTTTCCACATGGCAAGGATCCGTGAACCCGGCCGCACCCATTTGGGCAGTTCAGCTTCCGCGCTGGCCTTACTCCTAGAGAGTCGTCTTTGTGTTGGATCCATCCAACATGTTCCCCTCAGAATGTGGAGGCTAGGTCCCAGTAGGCCCTCTTCCCCTTTCTTGGGGGGAGGGCTGCCTCACTAAAACAGACTACGGAAAAATAGGGCACCCTTATTCTAACCTCTCTACTGGGGGACCTAGTGGAGGAGTGTGCCGCCCCGTTGGGCACAGCCGCGGATCTGTACATAATGCAACGTCTTGGGCCGCCATGCAAAGCAAGTTCTGTGCATGTCATTGGCTTCAGGCGCCCAGTGGAGTGCTGAGTGGGGGGGTCCCTTCTTTTCTCTCATGTTTATATGCACATATAATTATATATATATGTGTATATATATATATGGTTTCCCTCCATGGCTGAAAAGTGGCTGCGAGCGGTTTGAAATTTGAGGGTGGGAGCCATCTTCGAAACTGAGAGGAACTTGCTGCACGCATCCCGGGAGAATTCGTGCGCTTTGTGCACCTGTTATTTCCCCAAGCCCTCGGAGAGTCCAAGCGAGAGGCTGGCAGAGATCAGCGGGTGGCGAAATGGCGAGCGCAGCCAGGGGCTGGGGGCTCGCCCCCGTTTGGCACTCCGTTTCGTTTCGGGTTGGCATCCAGAAACGAAAGGGCAAAACGGCATCAAACAAAGAGCTCGGGTGAAAAAACTGACTCCCAGGCCTGAGCAACACGAGGGATTCGAACCAGGAGCCCTCTGCTGCGACGCAAACTGCAGCGAGCAGGTGCCGAAGTAAAGTCTGAGATGAGCAAGCCTAAAGCCCTCTACCCCCAGTAGTGCCCTTTTGCCCTTTGTTGGGGGAGGGTACCCTTATTCTAACCTCTCCACTGGAGGGTTGCTGCACGCAGCAGCCCAGCGACTCGCGAGGCGCGATGGCGTTTGCATGGCCCTCAGTCACTTGGCGGGCACTGGCTCGCTACCATGAAGCTCAAACCCTACAGGCTGGAAGCAAGCGCCACCCATCCCCCAGCCCCTAATTCATGTATTACGGGGGTCGCATCCAAGGGGGCCCTGCTTTATACCTTCCCCATGTGTGATTTTTGGGGTAAGAGGTACATCCGCCAGCAGCAGCAGCACCACCAGCCACATCAAAGGCGACTCCAACGAAGCGTGTATGCGTCGAAAAAGGGGGTCACCCCAAGAGTGGGGTGGTTTCCCTGTGGTCGCAAAAAAACATCTTGGTTCCCCCTGTTTCCCTGGTTTCTTTTTCTCTTTAAGCCAATTCTTTGAAAATGGTAGCAAATCCGGGGGGGGGGGGGGGGAAAAAAGAGACTTGTCCAAGCACTTCCATCTCCGATGCCGGGCCTGCTTCTGCCCTTTGCAGCGCTGCTGCGCTGGGCACCTGTTCTGCGGCCCACAAGAGGCGAGCGCCTGGACGGCTCCAATTGGAGCGAAAAAGGGTCTGTGGAATTCTCCGGGTTTTTCTCACATCCTGAGTTCCTGGACTTTATTCACTTTTTGGGTTTGGACCATTCTTGTGGCAAACAAAAAGCTTGCTTACCCTTTTTGGACAATCCACTCAGGAAGTTGGTTTTGGGTTGGCTTAAAGGAAAACCCGAAGGAAAACAACTTTTTGGTTTTGACCCCCTCCCTATTTGTTCGCACATATCGCTTAATTGAAGGTGATTCTGGGCCAGGATTTGGGCAAGTAGTGAAGCTGGGATCGTTATAGACTGCAGCTAGCCCGGGTTGAATCATCATCTCCCGTGCCCAAAGCCGACCTTTTGACCTTTTGGGTATTTAGTCTTGGTCCATCTGTAGTGAAGGCCCCTGGCTAGCCTTTGATTTCCAGGTTTGGGGGTGAGCCTCTCGGGAGCATGTGCTGCAACTCCCCAGGCCCGAAGAGATACCCTGTCCACCATGGAGCCGCACAGAACGGTCCTTGGAACACCATGTTCCTTGAAGGACCTTTGCTGGGTTCCATTTCAGCTGACCGGAGGCCGGAGGGTCACCCTTCTTTTGCAGAGGGTCTACATCTGGCAGTTGCATAGGCCTTGCCCCAGCCACGCGGCGCTTTGCCGCGCCCCGCCGCGGTGCAGTGGAGCGAGCCGTGGGGGAATCGGAAGGCACTTCCATAGCTTTTCTTCGAGTGGTCCTCAGTTCCCTCGAGGCAAAGCGATGAAAATGAAAAGGCAAATGCGGACCAGCAATAGCCCTAGTTGATTTTCCTGATTCCTATTACTCGTACATCGAACGAGGGAGGGAGAGAGAGAGAGAGAGAGAGAGAATGAACCAACCGCAAGCCACGGTAAACGAGATGGCGCTCCTAGGTCTTGCTCTTATTTGTTTGCATTGGCTTACGCTTCCTACCTGTTGACTTGGCGAACGTTGGATTCTGCGTAGACTGTCAACAACAAAATCTGCGGAGATCTGGCAAGACTCAGCCCATTCCAATAGGAACCATGGCAGTGCCGCCAGGTTTCTCGGCCCATGTTCACGCACTTCCAATCTATGTGGGTGCTCCGGAAGTGAGTCTGGCTGATCGTGTTTGGTGAAAATCGCAATGGACCTTTGGGAGTTTGGTTTTCCATGCAACAGATGTTTGCCAAGAACCAGGCCCAAGATGTTCCTGGCCAACAAATAAACTAACTTGGTACGCCATCTTTGACGACCATACCTTTTCAGTGTAGCTCTTTTTGGGTCTAAAAACCAGCCAGGCCCAAGGGTAACCAGCCAGATCCCCGTCTCCGCCCCACACCGCGCTGAGTCGACTCGACTCGACTCGTCGGAGCGTCGGAGCGTCTCCGCAGGAGAGCTACGCCAAGGTCTCGGTGCTCTGCTCGCGCTGCGGCGAGCTGCTGGCGAGGTACCGCAAGCGGAACGGCACCAAGTCCAACCTGGCGCGGGCCAAAAGACGCCGATCGGCGGTTTGCTTTTGGTTTGGCCCCGTTTCTGGGTCCCCCAGTACTCAGCTTTTTTAGTGGCACCAATTCTTGTTCCCTTTTTTTTGGTGGCTGCCCCACTAAAAATGGTGTTCCCCAAAAAGGTTCCCTGTTTTTCCAGGGTCACTGAACAACTGAGAGTATCAATCATTGGGGGGGGACCTCCAAAGTTAAAATGTCCTTTTCTAGGCCCTCCAGCAATTGGTGCCAGCTCTTTCTCACCCCTTTTTGGGGGAAGGGAGGGCAAGCCCCTACTAAAATAGACAGCAGAAAAGAGTTGGTACCCTTATCCTAACCTCTCTACTGTCTCTACTGGAGGACCTAGCGTTTGGCGGTCTGAGGATTGGTCAAATGAGGGTTATCGGGATATCACCACCCTAAAAGCCGCTTTCCAGGGAAAAGCGAAAGAGGGTGGTCTTGCTGGGGTCGTGATGTTGATTCTGTTTCTGGGGGGGGTCCAAGTCCGAACATGGCCGGGGGGGGTGTTTCCCTTTAAGCTGCGGTGACTTTGATCATGGTAAAATAATGTTTGGTGGTCTGGTGGCTTGCCCAAATCAGGGACCACCATCCTAAAACCGCTTCTCAGAAAAATCGGAAGAGTCGATTTTGGGTGTTTTGTTTTGCGTGTTCGGCGGTGGCTTGCTGTTTTGGAGTGGTGACCGGGATGTTTGGGATGGGGGTCAGGATCGTGTTCTTGCTTTGCCAAACCTGAACCGGCATGGCAGTGCTGGTTCTTGGTTGCATGCTCACTAAACACGGAAGGGGAAGGGGACCCCGGAATTCTGCTGAAAGGTTCCATGTTTCCATAAGGTCCTTTACGCCAAACCTATAGACTTCAGAATAGCAGCGCTCCCCAACTGCAAGCATCTCCGCCATTGACGTTGGCTCTTTGGCAAGAAACCGATGCGCAAAATTAGGAAAGCGATCCCAGGAGAATGTGTTGTCCCATGAGACGGGGCATTGACAGAGATGCATATGTGACAAAACTCGGAAGCTTATTTGGGATTGCTTTGAAAGGACAGGCAGTTCCCACAATCCTGTTTGACCAGTCTATACTGGGTGTGCCTTCTTTAAGGGGAACCCCCAAAACCATGGTTCTCCTTTTGGTGTCCAATTAAAAACCAAAAAGGGGAACCGAGCTTCGCAAAAAGACGAGCCACCCATCGAATTGACCGGCCAGATCAAGATGTACGTGGAGCGCATCGCGGAAGACACGCATTCAATTCTGGCGATGGAGAGCCAAATCCCCGCCTGCGGCGAGAACAAGGATAGGGGAGCCTCCAGACTCGAGTTCCTTCAATTGGTTTGTGTCTTAGAAACCATCTCCGGAAAAGTATCCAAGAAGTCAGCCCAACCCCCCCTGGTTTTTGCGGGTATTTGGCCAATGTCCTGGAATTCTGGAGATGCGCACCTTCGGTTTCCATTTTTTCTTCAAAGATCCTTCTCTCAAGAGATGGGGCAACCTGAACAAATGGGTGGCTTCTAAGGAGAACGGGTGAAGAGAATCGGGAATCAACTCTTAGCCAGTCAGTTAATTTTTCTCTTTTGGTGTCCGTTTAAAACCCCAACCAAAAAGGGACCGTAGTTTTGACACGCTCGCCGAGCCACTGGACCCATCCGGCCTCACCCGAACCCACCCCTGGAACTGCATTGTTCATAGTTTAGCGCGTTCGGGGATTTTGCCCCCCTCCCCCTGATGAGACTTGTTTCATTTGCCTGCCAGCGAAAAACCATGTCACAACGCAAGTGTGATCCATTCGGGGCAGTCGTGGCGCATGGTCCCGTCTCACCTTGGCATTGGCATTTTTGGGCATGCCTACCATAGGTCCATGCATCGTCCGATGCGTCCCCTTGGCCACCCGAAGGGCGCCGAAGTCTCGCATGGGTCTTTAGGCGCAACCCAAGGGTATTTTTTGGGATCAAGGAAAACCAGCCGGGAAGCCGGCCATGTTGTAGCCTCCCAATTTTTACTAATCCATTGGCTCGTACTTGAACTTCTCACTTCTTGGGGGAAACATGTGCAAAATGTGTTCTTCTTCCCTCCGCCATCCCGCGGTTTATTGGGGGGGTCTTGTTTTGGAGACAAGCACCCCATTTCGACGCCGAGATGGCATCCGCCAGGAGATTGCCTGCCCCGGCTGCGAGCGCAGCTTCTGCCGAGGCGCGAGCTCTCGGAAGCTCACGAGGACCTCTTGCTCGAGTGCTGGGCATGTTGCAAGACTTGCAGAGCCTCTAAGTCCCCCAGCAGTGCCCTTTTCTCACCTTTTCTTGGGTGGAGGGCAAGCCCCTACTAAAATAGGCTACAGAAAAACGACACGGTACCCATATTCTAAGCTTTAGTGGAGGACCTAGGCCTTGGTTGCTTTGGTTGCAAGACTAGGCCTGAGTTCCTTTTTGGAACTTGTAAGCTTTGACCTTCTTGACGACTACGACTATTTGGCGAAATGGGATGCGTTCCCTCCACAGAGTGCGAATGCGGCACCTCATTTATTTGCTGCATTTTTTGCCAAGGGATGTAACCAGTACAAGTTAAACTTTTAGCAGGGGAGCAGAAAGCAACCGAGATTTGTTGGGGTCAACATTGCCTTGGTTGCCTTTTGTTTGGACTCTTAACCCGTCAAGCCATTTTCTAATTGCCATCATGGCTAGTGCTCTAAGACAGGCCATGGGCGCTCGTGTCGTGGCCCCTGATTGAAACTTCCTTGGGTCTTCGTGGCGTTTTTTTTGCAAGACCCAAATCACCGTTGATGGATCTGGCGCGCATCGAGCCCATAGGTGTCCTTTTGGTTTGCTTAGAAAATAGAGGGCCCTGGTTTAGATGGGGTTTATTCCATTTACCAGGGCCATCTTTTTTTCCAAAAGGCCACCTATGATCGAGCCCCGATCGCGCCCTGGCACTTCCCCTTGAAACACCCGCACGGAGATATGGGCATGAGTTTAGATTAGGACCCTTTGGTGCACATCGCAATTCAGCTTTTGATGCGGTCCCCTATTTAACAGCGAAACAGTCATATCTGTTTTTCTCGAAGTCCCGTTATTGTCCACATCTCAGGGAGTTAGTCAACGTGGACTAGAGGGTGTGGAAAGGAATAGGCGGCAAAGCATGTGTTCTCAAATGCAGCACCCCCAAATGGATTAGTTCGCTTTTGGCTTCGCGGAAGAGCCGAAGTCGAAAGCTGCAACTTGTCAGATTGCCCAAATGGAGAAGTCAGAAGTCACTGCCGCCCTCTGTCAAATGGGGTAAGTGGCCTGTGGGCTAGTTTTGGGAGGGGCCTATGTGGTTATAAAAGAGTCGTTATCCTTTTGGTTGGCCCTTAAACCAACCTGTAACAGGATAACCCTCATACAGGGTTTCCTCCATGTCCCTTTTTGGAACCTCCAAAAGTGGCAGTTTTTTGTGCAAACCACGAGTACATTGCAACTTTAAGTTGAAGGGGAAATCTAGTGACCCCTGTCATACCCTCAAGAAAAGCGCTCCTGAAGCGGATGCCCACCATAGGGTCCCGCTTTCAAGGAAAATCGTCCAAAGCAGGACCCCGAAATGTCAGGTTCCGTGGCTACGTGGACAGGAGGGTAACCATCATGCGAAAAGCGGATCCCAGTTACCCTTCTAGGTACCCCTTCGCCATGGGACCTTTTGGTTTTTGAAGGGTGGGTGGCAAGCCAAGGGCTACCTACACAGGGAAATCGAATTACTGTGGGTGGTTGAAAGGGACATCACCGGAAGCACGATGATTTTGGGTGACCAGTTCCCTTATGGTAGGTAACCTGCCAGTCTCCTTTTATGTTCCCTTTTAGTGTAACCTCTTGTTAAAGGGTGGTCCTACCCCCAAACTCCCTAAAGGTTGCGCACTCAGTGCTGAGAGACCCGGATTCCTTCGTTTGTTCGGTGGTTCTACATTTTCCCAAAACCCTTCGAACCAAAGTCGGTTTCCCCACCTCCTGACACCAAAAGAATCGCAAAACCCTTGTGGTTCTAGAGTGGTTCCCATACCCTGAGACCAAAAACCAAAATCTAAGAAACCAACTAAGGATATTCTATAGGAAACCCCTGATTTCGGTGGGTATTTGGCAAACTTCCTGTAGGATTTCCTGTAGCTGGTTTCTATGACAAAACGCCCCGCGCCCGGACGACGATTCGCGACTTCGCCAACTTCGAACCAGGGCCCCGGCTGGTGAAGGGCCGGCCGGCCTGGAAGATCATCGCGGGGCGCGTGCGCATGAAGTGAGGAAAAGACGCACGAGACTCCGGGCAATATGTATATATATATATATACATACACACATATATTTACTATCTAGATATATTTTCTGTATGTGTGTATACATGTCCAATGTATGTGTCGGTATTTTGGTGGGAAGATCCGTTTTATCATAGAAACCAGCTAGAGGAAAGTCTACAGGAAGCTGGCCAAATACCCACCAAAACCAGGGGTTTCTGTAGACTGTGGCGGTCATAGATTCGTAACCAGAAGCTCAAGCTTTGGCCAATCCGCTCAGAAAGTCAGTTCTCGGTGTCGTAAAACAGGACTCGACATGCCAATCCTTTGAAAGCCAGCCAACCCCAGAGACAACCCGTTTAGGGCCCCTTCAGCTTGGTTTCCTTTCAAAGAAGGGTCTCGTATGGGATTCAAAATAGTTGCCAATCTTTGAAAGCCAGTCAGAGACAGATTGTCCTTCAGGTGTTAATCGAAGTGAATCTCTTGGAGTTCATCTATGGCTGCATCCTGGTGAACGTTGGTAAAATCTCCTTGCTGTGGATCATGTTTCCACTGGAGTCGCTGTCCAACAGAGACACAGTCATTCTTATCTTCGGAACATACTTGGAAGTTGTTGCGGATCTTGGCCATGACCTGTTCGAGAAGATCATCTACTATGAGGTAATCAATGGCTCCACCCTTTCTTTGCCGCTACCTGAACTGCTAACCTGAATCCGCTTCTTGAAGCTGCTGGGCTGTCCGTTTGTTGTTCGGTCTTTTGACGATCTTGGAAACCTCTAAGCGCCCAGCGTGCTTTGGTCTTAAGGAGTTTGCCTTCCTTGTCTCTCTTGATGGTTAAGACCCGTCTTCCGGTCACCCAGTTTCTGACTTGGAGTTTCCTGGTGTCGACTAGGTCGAATACTTCGTTGCCTAGCCAGGATTTGCACCTCAGCTGTTTTGCTTCAAGGAATTGCTTTGTATATGCTCGGAATTCTTGTTGTGCTGCTTCCGTACGTTTCTTTCCGATTAGTTCTTGTGTTGTGGAAGCCTTGAGGGCGCCTGTCTCCCTGTATACATTCTGTATACACTCTGTATACAGTCTGAGCATTGCTTGGTCATCATCGGTGAGGCCGTGGCGCACTGACTCAATGTCGTACTTGCTGTGTTGTCGTGTGTGCGCGAAGAACGAGAAGTCGTTATGGGCCTCAGCAGATTGCACTGCATGGAGACTACTGGGTCTGTCCTCAATGTCTCTTGGAACAGTGAATGGTCCAGTGTTTCTACACACTTTCTGACCATGTGTGAACTGTGTCCAGAGTGCTTCATCTAGTACCAGGTCTGAATCTTCGTCGGTGCAACGTCGGGTTCTTTGAGAATCAAAGCTCTCCGGTTCTTCCTCATCTTCTATCAATTCCTCAAAGGATTCTTCCGAACCTCTTTTCCAAGATCATCTTGGTGTGTCGGTGAAGGCGGGATGCCTGGTGAAGAACTCGGTCCTGATGAGGAGATCGGAAGTGGTGGGGTATCATTCGATGCGAGCGGTTATACATGACGCACTTGTTGTAAGGTGTGTGAGGTATACAGAGGTACCTCAATCTTCTCGTGCCGCTATGAGTGGCAAGAACTCGTGAATGTTTATTCGAAGATTCAATGTCAAGCCCTGTTCCTGGCGGGCACTGCTTGGTAGCTCGTTGCAGCTTGGTTACTAACTGATTATTGAAGGGTAGATCCTGAATCTATGTGCGGGTACTCGTGCTGGTCATGTTGTATTCCGCATCGATCTTGTCCAACTCTGATCTGATGTGTGATATGTCACTGTCAGAAAATGGTTCAATCACATCACCAAGAAGAAGAGCATATGATCCAAAGGTTTGACCTTGAGGAATCTGAGGGGGATATGTGCCATCTCTTGACAGAATGACGATGGATATATCTGGGCAACTCTGCGTTGCCTTCATGAGGCTGACGTCGGTGCTTATCCTTACTAAGGTAATTGGAGCACCTTCTGAGTACTGGTCTCATGACTTCTTTAGGAAGATTATGCATGAGGCTTGTCGGTTTCAAGCTTCTAAGTTTGGTATCTGTGTCACGAAGACCAAATGCACAAAAATCAAGGTCATCCCAAGTGACCTGTGCATGTTTCATCACTTCCATGATGGACTTAAGAGTCCATATCTTGGGATGTTTGGGGATTTTGTATGATGAAAAAGAGTCCTCGGTTCTGTTGGAATCTTGCGATTGAAGCTACAACGTCGATCATAGGCAAGCACCTGGCCCTCTTTTCGGCCACAGTTTTCGGATCATTAATTTTCTGCATACTGGACCAAGGTCCACAAACTGGTGCAAGCCAGACAACCTTGAGAAGTCTGGTTCCAAGGTCTATGCCAACCATGGTGATGTGTGGATATTACCTTGCCCTTTAACCACATTCCTCCTCTCAAGCCATCAGGTTTAGTCTCTGATTTGTCCTCACTCCAATACAGTACCACATCGCCAATTACGATTGGCCTTGAGCTAAGGCGCAGGTGGGAGATCTCGTCGGGCATCTTCAGATTGTCGAGCCTCTTGATAAAATTGTTGTGCAAGTAATCGAATCTGTCCAGCAGTCAGCTCTTCTTCCGTTTTAGGCATTGTGGGCTGCGGTGGTGCAGCTGTGTCCAGTTGGACAAGCTCTGCTGGCCGCATCCAAATGCTAGCTCAAGTGGGGTGGCTCCTGCGATGTCCAACACACAGACGTTTCTTGCGGTTGCTGCTGCCTTCACGACAAGTTGCTTGTAGGTTTTGGCCTTCAATGAGGCTGGTGCTATGCCTGCCTTGATGGAGTTGAGCGTGACAGAGACGTGTTGTTTGGTGAGACGTACTGCGTTCTCTGCGCGGTTCGGAGAAGGAGAAGCAGGTTTTGAACCTTTAGCAAAGAGGGGGCCAAACATAGCGCAAATCTCCACAAGTGTTTTTACCAAGCCAGGCAAACTGTGAGCGTAATCTGAGAGTAAGCAATCCGCAGCCTTAGGAAGCAATGGCAGGGGGTGCTAAAGTTTAGCTGCTAAAGGGCCTCCAGCCAACCATGCATATCCTTTGTGTGGATACATGTGAGTGGAGCCTTAGAAAAAACCTTCTCTTGAAAGGCGGTTCCAAAGGCTGGATGGCTCCCATCCATGGTCGTCCATGGGAAGAAAGAGAGAGAGAGAGAGAGAGAGAGAGAGAGAGAGAGAGAGAGAGCGAGAAAAAAAAGAGGGAGAGAAAAAAGAGGGAGAGAGAGAGAGAGAGAGACAGAGAGAGAGAGAAAAGGAGAGAGAACCTGAGAGAGAAAAAGAAAGAGAAAAAGAGAAACAGAGAGAGAAAAAGAGAGAGAACAAGAGAGAGAAAAAGGGGAGAAACGGAGAGAAAAAGATGGAGAAAAAGAGAGAGAAAACGAGAGAGAAACAGATAGAGGAACGGAGAGAGAAAACGAGGGAGAAGAAGAGAAACAAAGAGAGACAGAAAAAGAGAGAGAGAGAGAGAGACTTCCCAATTTACGCGAGGTATCCCCCCCCCCCGGCGGGCTGACAAGAAAGCACCTGTGACCCCCTGAGCCAAGGAGACATATAAGAGAGTTGAGACTTGAAAGCAACCTTGGACATGTTGACATCTTCAACATTTTTTGTAAATCGCGGTTGTTGCCCCTTTTGCCCCCGGCAAAAGGCAAGGGAGCGTAACAATCTCTCAGCCACCGCTTCAATTGTACATCGATATGCATTTTCATTTCTATTTGTACAGAAGAATTGCCAGATATTTGAGGATATCTGGGTCCTTTGCCAGAAATCGAGCTGTATCAAGCTTGGATCATGACACGAGGGACAGCGCGCCAAGAGCTGCGGGGTTGTCGCAATTGCGAGCAGGACGTAGCCGACTTTCCGGGCGGCCGAGTTCTGCGCAGCCAACGTCCCAGGCACCCATGGCAAGGGGGCTTTCAGGTTGTTGCAGGACACCGCATGCCAAGAGAAACGTCGGCAAAAGGTGAATGTTGTTTTTCCCGGTTTGGGGGCCATTTATCAGGTAAGTGGTTTTAGGTTTCTGGCTTGGGGAAATGAACCCCGCACTTTTTAGAGGGTAAATGGGCAACCCCCCATAAATGGGCAACCGCCCCACAGCCTCCAAACCACCGACCCGCAACCATTTGTAGGGGAGCGGACAATTGATGCACAATTGGTGCGCAGTTTGTGCAGAACTCGACAGTGAGTGACCTATTCGGGTTGGGCTAGGAGGGCAGCCGAAAAGCTATTATTTGAGATAACCCCCCTGTCTTGCTACCCGCCCACAAAGCCAGTGGCTCTTATGTTGCTCCAGGCTTGGAGGCGGGGGTGCGTCTTGCGCCCGGCCGAACGTGGCGCCCAAGCAACGCAGCAAGTGAATTGTTAGAGGCATCTTCTCTTCGAAAGCGTAATTCTTGTTGGACGCAATGTTCGTTTGTCAGGGGCAGTAGTTTTTCCCTTCGGGCCCAGCGAGCCAGGTGCTGAAAGGTGGAGGCCCGTGTTGCACTTTGGAAGGGCTAAAGACCTTTGAGGATTGGGGTGGTTCTAAAAGGTGCCCCCAAAAAAGCAGTTCGCCGGCCCCGTTCCGAGCTTGCGCGGCACACTTGCGCAGAGCGCTTGCGCAGCGCAACTTGCACAGAGCACTTGCGCACACAGCGCAACTTGCACTGAACCCTTGATCCGAGAACTTGCACACGCAGAGCAACACTCACCTTACATTATGCTTTCGGGCCAGTTCTAGTTTTTTTCCCGGGGGGGGGGGGGGTATGGGTGAGGTTGCAAATACGGGGGCCCAATACAGCTGGCAATTCACCTCGTAGGTTCTCCAGGTGGATCTACTCCGATGCAAGAGGTACAAATATGCAAAGAGGTAAATGACCACAATACGAAATGTAGGGCAGTGTTTCTTGTAGGACCAAATAGTGCAAAGCCCACAACCAGCAAAGCGATGGCTTTTTCCCCTGCTATGACAAGTCTGAGCTACACCAGGCCTTGAGCCATGGATGGCGCCGGAGATTGCTACATGAGTGGATCATTGTGACACAAGCGCAGAACAAAGCAAGAAACAAGCAGACAAATTTCTTTCCAGTCATGGCATCTCAGATTCAAAGAGCGGTTTTCTCACTCAGCTCTTGGGCCTGGAATACACGGAGCTTGTGCAGTAGCAGCACATTGGATTACTGTACCGTAGCCTCTAAATTATTGGGTTCCGAAAAAACATTCAAGGACGGACACATGCAGATTTTGACGGGCTCAAAGTGAGAACCTCCTGAGATGTTCACGGCGTATACAGACAAGACAAGTGACTATACCAAGAATCATGGTAAGAGATTCCGGCGAACCGGAGCACTAGGATGACATTGTCGCACCAATAATGCTTACTCCTCAGCTATCCGCGTTCTCTTTCCTTCTGTCTCTTCCGTTTCAAGGCTGCCTCGGAGATGTTGTTGTTCTCATGCATGACATGGATATTCACGATTTGCACGCGGCTCCCCTTTGACTCAGCAGACAATCGCTTTGCCTATCGGCATCCTTGCCTGTGAAGCTATGGGCCTTCCCTTGAGCCAAACACAGCGGACAAACAGGTCAGGGCATGCAAGCACACTTTCGCATCCATTCTGCTATCTTAAAGTGCCCTGACCAGGCCATCTCGCGGCCTCCTCGCTTACGCACTCAGCAGAGCTGTTTGGACTGCACACTTTCTTCGCCCAGATTGGCTTGGACCTCGCAGCAGTGCATTTCTCCGACGCAGCTTTGCTCGGGAGCCCACTCAGGTCCCCTTCCGTCTGACCCAGGTAGTAGTGCTCCGTCAAATCCGCAAGGCTCTGCCTGCATCGGCATCAAGCTCTTCCATTCCATGAGGTACTTCAGCCGCTTATTCCCCATTCCGGGTAATTGTGAACAAATTGGCCAGGTCGGCCACAGCTACTCGAAATCCCTCCTCATCAGGCACATAGCGTTCTTGGTGTAGGTGAACGTCACCTCCATGGCCACCCGCGGAACATTCTCATTCACCTTCTCGAGCGGGGCTCGCACTTTGCATTGACCCAGGCTTTGCGCCAAACGATTTTTGAACTCGTGCTCGCTCTCAAAAATGCCCTCCACAAGAGCCACACTCCTGCCACAGGCACGCTTTGCCCTTGAGCGGGTTTCCTAGGCTTGCGAGCTTCACGTTCCGGGGCAGCAGCCTCCATCATGGTCGTGGTGGATGCGCATCAACATTTGGAAGAATACCTGTCATAACAGTTTTGATAGCTCGTCGGCCTTGGCAGGATATGGACATCTGCAAGTTCGCCAGGTATGGTGTCGTTTCTTTGGGCAAACTTCTGAAAGAAGGGCGTCTCATGTTGAGAGAAATCCATATGGCGCTAGGCGTAGCCAAGAAAAGCCGTTTCTGGGCCCGACCCAAACAATGTCGTTTGCTGCTTGAACCATTGTGGGTTGAAACGTTGAACGTGCCCCATGTTGAAGCAGTTGGTTGGCCCAAACCTGTTTCAACCACCTTAACAGGTGGCATTGGCGAACAGACCCCAACAAGCAGACAAGCAAAAGAAAAAGTGAGAGATTCCTAGGGCATGCCCTTGACGCCCTTACAGCTCATGTTCCTTGTCAAGATCTCCAAGCCCCAATTAATGTATGAAAGGAAAAGAACCCCCCCATACAGTTTTCCACTGTTCCTAATAGGCACCAGTGAAATGATGAACGGGGTTGTTCCCACTTCGGGTTGGCGTTTGCTTTTAATTTGTTTGCCCTCCCTCGAGTGTGGGGTGTTGGGGAACCTCTGGCTTGTGTTTGAACGAAAACTACAGATTGGCGTGTCTTTTTTGGAGGGTATCCCTTTTTTGTGGGCTTAACGGAAAACCATCGTTTTGGGAACTCCGTCAAAAAAAGACACGCAAATAGGTCAGGATCCCGTCTCCTAGCTTAGCAAACGCTGCCCGGCCATGGGTGCAGCTTTGACAAGCAGCCCCCATTGACCAACTGGTCGAATTCCTGCTGGCTGTTGCATGCTAAGTTCAGAGATTGCCCCCCCCAATTCTCATCGTTCATGGCCATTCAGAATGGTTCTTCCCACCAATGCGATGTTTGGATGGGAATTACGATGTCCCTTTCATGCATTCCCGTGATTTTTCTTCGGGCACCCTGAGGTTCAAAACCTGCCTCGCAACCGACTCGACTCTAAACTGATCTCTTTTGAAAGGATCAAGAACAAAAGTTATGAGAGAAGAACTGGTGAGAAACCAAAAAGTTCTCACTATGCGCCAGAATCAAAAACTTTGAGTTGGCCAAAAGCAGAGGGCTAGAAACGTGGTTGGTCTCCTAAAGCCTATAGTCCTAAAGTCGGCCCCACGGCAACGAAAACCGCGGCTTCGTTTCCGCCATGGCGCGGAAACGCTCCGCGTGTGGCCTGGACCCACAGCGTCTCCAGGAGTTCGAGGAATCGCTGCGTGGCCCGGAAGCACTTGGACCTGAAGTTCCCGGACGATTTTTCCTCAGGTCTTTTTTGGCTGTAAAGGTTTCAGGTTGGTCGAGGATGGATTCTTTACGGCCCTCACATTTCCCGAAGGCCAAAGAGAGGTGTGGTAGGGAAAAGGACCCCCCGACCTTTTATGCCTAGTTGGTATCGGATCTTTGGTTTTGTTTTGACCTGTTGGGAGAAACGGTTTGTTGTTTTTCCTTATTGCACCCACCAAAAGTTATTTTTTGCAGAGGGGTCAACAGCAACCAAGAGTTGTCCAAAGCGAATCGACCGGAGCTGACCTTTGACTAGCTGGTTGGAAGGGAGCCGGACTCAGGAGCTAGGGGAATCCAAAGCTGCCTTAAAAGAGGGAGCTAAGGAGCTACCTGCAGTTCTGTCAAGGCATCTTAGTTTAGTTGTCCCTTGTCTCAGTTGTTCAGTGGCACCAATTATGTTTCCCTTTTTGTTGGTGGCTGCCCCACTAAAATGGTCCAAGCCCAAAAAATTGGTTCCCTTTTCTTCCAGGGTCACTGAACAACTGAGTTGTTGGCATCATGTTTAGTGAGACTTTCACGAAAGCTGCTCGCGTTTGGTTTCCAGGTCCGGGCAAGCGAGCTTCTTGCACTGGATCGATCCCCCAGCCGTTCTCACCCCTTTTTGTTGGAAAGCGGAGGGCAAGCCCCTAAAATGGCTGTGGTTGTCAAAACCGTTTTGAGATCCCATTTTGGTTGGTAGGTGAATTCACCACCCATTCTAGAACCTATTTTAGTGGGGATTGGGATGTTCACTGGGGTACGGAATTTTGACCCATCGCCAAATAGACTACAGAAAAAGAGTACCCTTATTCGAACCTCTATGGAGGACCTAGTACAATGAGACTGTAGATGGAGAAGATCCATTTCGCAGCCAGTTGGGATGGATGAAACCCTATGAAGATTGGGATAAGCCGCCAACCAATTGTGCAGGTGTTTTTTGGTCCATCCACAGTATCTATGGTGTTTCTCGCAGTGGCACTGTTGCGTTGATTTACCCTTGAATAGCAATTACCATTCACATCTTCAAGCCAGAATTTTGGGGCTGATCTTCACCCTCCCACCCACTCTGCGAAACCAGAGCAACTGCTCTTCCTTTCTCGTGGGTGCGAGAGGGTTTTTTGACGATGAGGGGCAGTTGGTCCCAGTTCAGTCGAAATGGATTCCATTCGGTTTGGTTCTACTCCTTAGTTGCCCAAAGCGAATCGGTACCTTTTCACCTGCCTGTGTCGGTACCAATGTTAAGTCAAGGTCCATCAGCCTCCAAAATGACCAAAGCGACATGGGTCCCGTCTCCCAGCTTTCCGGAGGTCGGGAGGTGCAGATTGGAAGCCTCGCGGGCGCAGTGCACCTGGTCTTGCGCAAGGGTCGCACGGCGCCTCGTTGGAATTCGGCCGAGCCGGGTCCTAAAAAAACTTTGTTGCCCTGGGGTGCCCTTTTTCCTTTTTTTTGGTAAGGGTTCCCCTTTAAACTCAACCAACGAAAAAGGGTGCCCCTCTTTTTTTTCCCACGGCCACTGGGCATCTGAGAAAATATTCTCAGGTAAATAAGTAGCACCAGTTGTAACCATGGTTGCAACATACTTACTCTCACTTGTCCACAGCGAATCAACCTTTTAACCTTTTGATTGTCCAAGTTTGGTGCCAGTTTCTGGTCATGGCCCCAAAACGTTATCCTGACCTTCTTTTGCTGTTTGGGCAAGTGAGTGTTGGAATCCCTAAGTGAGGATGGGTACGAGGGTAGTTGAGAGTTTCAGGGTTCCTTAGGGAGCCTTGCGGAAGCCCCTGGACCACCCCCCCGTGGGACTCCATTCCACGTTTGTTTGCAAGGGGAAAATCCAAGGGAGTAAGCCTTACTTGGTTTGGATTGGCTCAGGGGTTTGAACCCCTTCTTATGGAGAGGGAAACCTCTCCATACCTCCAAACCACTTGGAGGGAAGCTGATAAATTGCAAGGGACGCTGTGGATCACTTGCCAACCGATGGGGGGACCTTTTGGTGGGCATCATGTTGGATGTGTTATCATACATGTTTACATCTATGCAGGTGTCAGCGAGCATTTGTCCGGATAGAGTAAATGTTATGATTGTACAGAAATAACCTATCTTCTTGGAACACCGTATGTGTTTGTTTTTTGCTCCGAGTTTAAGATAGTCTATTTGGGCAAGTTCTTTTTGCGTTGAAAGACCAACATTCAACATGATCGCCCAAGAGAACCAGAATGCGTGTTTACGGGTCCTGTGATTTCTTTGCTTTCTCCAAGCCCCATGTGTTTGCCAATTGCGGGCTGCCGCGCAGAATCAACGGCACACAGCATTCCTCTTCCCACAAAGAGGTCTACACTTTCGTTGAAAGGAGATGTGAAGGAAAGTTGAAAAGCCAAAAAGTTAGAACGTGTTCATAAGCAACAGTCTGTTTGCACACCCAGCCAATGGGTACAGTTGCCAGTACCGAGGCCATGTGGCAGCCAGCCTTTTCCTGTGTTTGAGTAAGACGGAAGGGAAGGTTGAGGCTTTGGGAATTTCACGTGGCAGGATTGGCCTGTTCTTTTTGACAACTCCACCACAGTCATTCGCTGTCCAACCCTGTTGTTGTTTGTTTTTGCTGTATGTGCGGTGGGTGCCCTACATATTGCAAGTAAACCAGCCACACTCAACCACACTCAACCACAAGACCATGGTACACGGTCTATTTGGGGAGGTTCCCTGTTCCCTTGCAATATTTAGGGCATCCACCGAAGGCCACCCTCGTGGGGTTGCCCCCGTCTCTTCCCCGACAGAGGGGACCTTGACGTGGGGCGCATGTCCGACCGAGGTGTACTCGTGCGCGGCGGGGTTTGCGGATGTCGAGCGGAAGCGGCGCTTCACTGCAGGCCAAGCGTGTTTGCGGGCCGCGGAAGGTTTGCGGGCAAGGAGAGTTGCATGAGGGTGGTTTATTTTAGTATTATTATTATTATTATTGGGTAGCCCCGAGTTTATTTGAGGAGAGTGTTTTTGAGGCACCAAAAGATGTGTCAAGTGGATCTGATGATTGTGGTATGCCTTTTTCACCTGAACGGCCGAACATTTTTTTTGTTGGGGTTTCTACTTTCTGTGCCAGGCGTCTCTCAGGGGCTCAAATCCCATCTTGGTATCACAAGAGGATCCCTTGGACACACCTGGGGGTTGGGTCTCTTTTTTGCTGGCTGAAGAGGATCCAACCCCTTGCAATTCAAGTGGCTTCGGATGTATTCTATGGGGACACTGCTGTCACCATTCTTGGTGCTTCCATTTGCTTAAGAATATCGTAGACTTTCCCTTGTCGGTTTTAAAGGGCATCTATCACTACTGGAAATGTGTTTATTTTGTTCCAGGGGGTGCAAAAGCAAATGGAAGGGTGGGGTTGCAAACCGTACCTGGCATCACCCAAGCGCAACTGGTTGGAGCCACAATCCCGAGTCCAATCGGACTGGGATCTCTATGAGAAGGCTAGGTCCCCCAGCGATTGGTGCCCGCTCTCTTACCCCTTTTTTGGTTGGGAGATTCGGTTCCCCTACTAAAATAAACTACAAAAAGTTGGTACCCTAATTCTAACCTCTCTACTAGACGACCTAGCAGGTACTTTCCAGCGGAGCTTCATGTGGCACAAGACATCATGACTGAACCCACGCCAAGCCCACGAGATAGAATCATTGATCTCGCCAAGCAATGGATAGATGGTGCGGATGCCGTCTTGATTTGTGCCGGCGCCGGAATGAGCGTCAAGCAAGGTGAGATGGTCTACACGAATCCGGATGATTTCGCCAGGGCTTATCCTTGGTTTCCAAAGTGGGGCTACAAGACCAGCTACGAATGCATGGGGCTCTTTGGTGACCAACGAGTTCCTCCAACTGCAAAGTGGGCGTTGAACGCAAAGCACATGGACAATATGCGCTGGAAGTTTACTCCAAATGAAGGTTATGACCAGCTGTTGCAGCTTGTTGGACAGAAGGACTACTTCGTACTGACTTCCAATGTGGACGCTTGCTTTGAACAAAGTGGGTTCGATGCTTCCAAAATTTACACTCCGCAAGGTGAATGGACATGGATGCAGTGTGTCAGCGCATGTCAGCCGGATTCAGTCTTTGATTCTCGCCCATACATTGACAGAATACTACCCCACATCAGCAATGAGGGTATGATCCCTCAAGAGCTCATTCCGAAGTGCCCCCGTTGCGGCAGTGACATGTTTGGGAACGTTCGAGGTGGAAGCTGGTTTCTCCATCACAAATACGAGCACCAGGCTGAGCGGATTCAGGAGTGGATGCAGAAGAAGGTGGATGGCATTGAACAAACCAAGGTTGTCATTATCGAGATTGGTGCTGGCTTCAATACTCCGACAGTGACCCGCTTCCCTGTTGAATCCTTTGCTAGGGAGCTTGGCAGAGCCAGATTCATTCGCATCAATCCAACCAATGCGGAGGTGCCTGAAGATCTCCGAGCTATTGCATTGCAAGAAGGATGGCAGGTATTGCTTGACATTGCCACGAGCAGCGGCATTCAGGCGGCAAAGGAGACAGAGGACGATATCAAGAAAGAGTTGCTGCAATCCAGCCTGCTTGTCCCCAAAGCTTCAAGCCTCAGCTATCGACGATACTTTGGCCATTTCGACTGGAGACAGTTTCTTCACCAGCTCCGAATGGATTAGGATCCGTAGAATTCCTGAAGCTCAGCTACGCGTCTTGCCACATTCACTTTGTGCAGACCCTCTCTTGTAGCTATCTATCATTCTCGCGCTTTTCATAGGTCAACGTCGCATGTATTGATCGCCGCCGCCTCTTGGAATTTGATGGGCCGTGTCGTGTGCCTTCGAAGCCATGGAGGTCCAACAGGCCCGATGAGTTCATAGGTCCGAGAGGCCTTCATAAGAAAAGGAGATGGCGAGTCACCCGCAGACGGAAGTACTTGGGGCTACAGCGCTATCCGAACATCCTTTGGCTCGTCGTTGAATGGCTGCGTTGGCATACGAGAGCCTTAGAGTTGGCTTTGTGTACTGGCCGACTTCATTATCATACCACAACTTGTTCCGCATATCCGATGTGAGCTCCTTGTGAGGCGCAGCCTGAGAATCAGTCTCACGGACAGGGGAAAAGTACCTCCAAAAGTGGCAGCTTCCTTGCGGGAGCCACCGGTGAATTGCTCAACCTTTTGCTGAAATCCAGTCAGCCCCTGATGATTTCCCATGGTTTCCCATGGTTTCATTCGTGTCCCGTGGTGAAAGAACCTAATACATTTTCCCTTGGGCTTTCCTTTAAGGCCACCGAAAAGGGGGTACCCTCAAAAAAAGAGACACCCAGGCCTTTGAGAATTTCCAGCTCTGTTCTATTTAACGGCACTCGGATTTCCCCCACGAGAGGCACACTTTGCCGCCTGCACGGGGCCACGAAGCCGCTGCTCAGCGCTGCCTTCCTCGCGCTGGTGGACGCAGGCGGGGCCATCCGCGACTGCGCGGATCCGGAAGCCCAGAGCCCCTGAGTTGCTCAAAGAACGACAGGGTTACTCCCTGCATCTGACCTTTTGGCTTTCCCGTTTTGGGCTCCAATTTTTGGTAAAGGTGCCAGTGATCACCTCTTATTTCTGGGTCGCCAAGGGGCAACTGAGCTACGGAGTAACGGAAGGAACCCACAAAAAGCCACCCATTTGTAGAGGAAACTCCTTTGGAACCAGATGACCGGCACCCCTTCAAAAGTTAACTTGAGAAGCAAATCCTCTCAAAAATCATGGGAGAATAGGGGTATCTTCAACCTACAGATTAACGGAAGGAACAACAAAACAAACCATGTGTATGGGGAAACTCCTTTTTGGGAAATTGCCCCGGCGCCAGGTGTTTCTCAAAATCGGAGGCGGTCCCTGAAATGTGAGAGGTTTGTTCAAAGCCGATGGTTTCTCCAGGGCCCCTTAAAAGATACATTCTGCCCATTTGAAACATGGCTTTTTCCACCAAAATCAACGGAACCCACCATTTACAAGTTGCAATGTTCAGGTGTATAATGTAAGGATCCCTGTTCTCCCTTACACAATTAGCAGAAGGATCCCAAGTGTAAGGAGCTGATTTGGATATTCAGATTCAGACCATTTGGTGGGAATCACATAGTGTGCTTTTGTTTCGCCAATCCACTCAGGAAGTAAACTCTGTGCAATTACAATGTGCTCAGCTTGCAAAGCGAGCGCACCCCATGATGAATGTCCTTGGCCTGGGATTTACGAATTATATGAATTTGCCCAGGCTATGTCCACCACTATTTGCCTCACTCTCCAACCGCTACCCAAAACATCATTGGGCAGGCAACATTCATAGCCTTTTTGTACTCAGTGAGAAACATGGTTTTGCCCGGTGGATCCCACTAATTTGGGGCAAGTGGAAATCCTCGTTTTGGATAGGTTGCATGGGACTGAAGAAAGGCATCCTGGCTCTCACTGGGGCGTTGCAGGCAGTTCGGTGGGGCTAACAGCACCTGCTGTTCACATGTGTCCCCAATTTCGGCCCCGGATTCATTGATTCATAAACATGTCCCTATTGAATATGGGTATTCCCTCCAAAAGTGATGGCTCCCCAAGAAAGGGACACCCCACGATTAATCAACCAGGAGACCTCTACCATCGGGAGCTCCATTGGAGCGGAAAAAACCCTCCCGATGTTGGGGTTCTTTCCACAGGTTGAGTGGGTATGTCTTTTCTTTTGGGTACCCCTTCTTTGTGGTTTTATGTGGAAACTAAAGGAAAGACCGAAGCCATTTTGGGAGGTCCACCCAAGTGGCACTTCCGTTTGCTTGAGAATGTGTTTTCTTTCCCGCTCTTGATTTTCAGAAAAATATATCACTATCAAAAATAAAAGCCCAGCAGACTCAAGCAATTAGAAGGGCGAGTTCACAGGAACTCGCGAACTCCCGGCTTTTTCCCGGTGGAAGATCCCGTGACCGCCGCGAGTTTCGCATCGAGGGCGCTGCTGCTTGGACGACCCCATCGACCAGTACCTGCCCTTTCCAGAGCTGCTGGCCAGGAAGGCTGGGCAGTGTGGGGAGTGCTTGTTGCGTAGGTGTCCTTTTTGGGTGAGTTTGGTTAAAAATACATGGTTCCACTGGTTTAGGTGTCGTTGATCCCGTTTTCCAGGGCCATATTTTGTTTCCAGAAGGCCACCTAAGACTTGTTGAAGATGCAGCTTCTGCTGATTCTGCCAACTGGCCCGGAATGGGAGGAGGTTTTGAGGTTGCTTGCTCGTCTGGAGGATTTGCGGCACCTTGCTGTGCCTGAGTTCCTGGCAATGATGCTTCCTGAGTTCATGCCTCGCGGCCATTTGGCAGAAGAGGAAGGATCAGCCGGCAGCTTGATCTAGGCAAGCACTCGTAATCATGGCCCGTCGCTCCTCCGCGCTTCTGGTTGTGGCCATCCTGGCTGTGCTGGGCCTTGCGAGCCTGTCCTTTGTCCCATCAGCTCCTCAGGCGCTGCGCGGCGATGACACCATGGCAAAGGATCGTGTGACACAGGCGGCAGCCCTCTCTGCAGCAGTGCTGACTGTGCCCGAGATCGCGCACGCGGGCAACTCAGGCTATGCGCTGCTCCAGCTGGGCTGGGCAATTTTCATCATCTCCCTGGGCCCCGCGGTGCTCTTCTGGGTCTACTTCAACAAGCCAGAGCTGCTGTGAGCACGGGCTGTAGATTTTTGAAAGCTCTGGGATGACGCGCAGATACGTCCGCTTGCCTTGCAGGGACAAATAAGTGAAGTTTGCCAATCATGTCCGTCATTATGTCGTTGCGCACCCCGCGTTTGTTTCATACAAGATGCCCTTGGTTTTTGTGAAGTCAACTGGATGATTGCCAGCTGTATTTGCGTCAAACCTGGGCCGACACTGTTTGAAAAAAAGGAAGTTGCAACCAGATTCTGCCAGCATGTGTACATCGCAAACTTTACATCAAATTGTTCAAGCTCTTTGTGTGTATGTGTGTGTGCGTTGCTTACTGCTTGCTGCATTCTAGGCTCGACCTGTTCACAAAAAGGTCCGCTCCAATCCCTAGATCGCCAAAAAATCATGGCCCGTCGCTCCTCCGCGCTTCTGGTTGTGGCCATCCTGGCTGTGTTGGGCCTTGCGAGCCTGTCCTTTGTCCCATCAGCTCCTCAGGCGCTGCGCGGCGATGACACCATGGCAAAGGATCGTGTGACACAGGCGGCAGCCCTCTCTGCAGCAGTGCTGACTGTGCCCGAGATCGCGCACGCGGGCAACTCAGGCTATGCGCTGCTCCAGCTGGGCTGGGCAATTTTCATCATCTCCCTGGGCCCCGCGGTGCTCTTCTGGGTCTACTTCAACAAGCCAGAGCTGCTGTGAGCACGGGCTGTAGATTTTTGAATGCTTTGGGGTGACGCCCAGATACGTCCGCTTGCCTTGCAGGGACAAATAAGTCAAGTTTGCCAATCGTGTCCATCGTTGATATTATCATTGTTCACCCCGAGTTTGTTTCATAAAAGAGGCCCCCGTGCTCAACACTGTGCTGATAAACCAGATGCTGCCAGCATGTGTACATGGCAAAGTGTATGAGCAAGTCTGTCAAGCTTTTTCTGTGTGTGTGTTGCTTAGTTGCTTGCTGCATTCTAGGCTCGACCTGTTCACAAAAAGGTCCGCTCCAATCCCTAGATCGCCAGAAATCATGGCCCGTCGCTCCCCCGCGCTTCTGGTTGTGGCCATCCTGGCTGTGTTGGGCCTTGCGAGCCTGTCCTTTGTCCCATCAGCTCCTCAGGCGCTGCGCGGCGATGACACCATGGCAAAGGATCGTGTGACACAGGCGGCAGCCCTCTCTGCAGCAGTGCTGACTGTGCCCGAGATCGCGCACGCGGGCAACTCAGGCTATGCGCTGCTCCAGCTGGGCTGGGCAATTTTCATCATCTCCCTGGGCCCCGCGGTGCTCTTCTGGGTCTACTTCAACAAGCCAGAGCTGCTGTGAGCATGGGCTGTAGATTTTTGAAAGCTCTGGGATGACGCCCAGATACGTCCGCTTGCCTTGCAGGGACAAACAAGTTGTCCAATGGTGTCCATCATTGATAGTATCATTTTTTACCAGGTATTTGTTCACGAAAGCGGCCCCCAAGCTTTCTAAGTCAACTGCATGATTACCAGCTGCATGTTTGACAAGTCTGGGCCAACACATTGTAATTAACCAGATTCTGCAAGCATGTGCGCATGGCACAGTGTATGAACAAGTCTGTCAAGCTTTTTCTGTGTGTGTGTGTGTGGGTGTGTTGCTTAATTAGTTGCTTGCTGCATTCTAGGCTCGACCTGTTCACAAAAAGGTCCGCTCCAATCCCTAGATCGCCAGAAATCATGGCCCGTCGCTCCTCCGCGCTTCTGGTTGTGGCCATCCTGGCTGTGTTGGGCCTTGCGAGCCTGTCCTTTGTCCCATCAGCTCCTCAGGCGCTGCGCGGCGATGACACCATGGCAAAGGATCGTGTGACACAGGCAGCAGCCCTCTCTGCAGCAGTGCTGACTGTGCCCGAGATCGCGCACGCGGGCAACTCAGGCTATGCGCTGCTCCAGCTGGGCTGGGCAATTTTCATCATCTCCCTGGGCCCCGCGGTGCTCTTCTGGGTCTACTTCAACAAGCCAGAGCTGCTGTGAGCATGGGCTGTAGATTTTTGAAAGCTCTGGGATGACGCGCAGATACGTCCGCTTGCCTTGCAGGGACAAATAAGTGAAGTTTGCCAATCATGTCCGTCATCATATCATCATGCACACCACCCTTGTTTTTTTGGGTGAGGACCCCGAACAACTGCATAAGTGTGGGATTCCTCAGAAGGTTTGCTGCCAAACTAAGCCAGCATTTGTGCTTGACCTTTTTGTCGGCGAGTTTGTCAAGGTGTATTGCATGCTTCTGTACTATTGTTTGCGGGGCGGGGGGGGGGGGGCACTCAGGCAGCTAGGAGTTGGCTGCCGGTAAGTTGCTAAGTAAGCAAGCATGAGGAAGAGGTGCAGAGAGCTTCGTGTATGGGGTGGACTCATGTTGCAGAACGTTGAAAGATCCGGTTCTTCTCCCTGAGGCACGGGATGCAGGGGACAATGCCCAGCAGCTTGCCGAATGAGTCGAGCGCCTTTGGAGGGCGAAGGTTGGGCCCGGATGGAAGTTGGAATGACCCCGAGAGAAACCATCCTTTTGTGGCTTCCTTAAATATCCCCCTTCCGTTTCATTCCCAACACCCAGAACGGTCATTCCCTACTCGCACCAGCAAGTGGAAGACCTGGTCGGTTCTGATCGGGAGGTGTCCCCTTTTAGTTTCGTGAAACTCCCTGACCTTTAGTGCGGATTCAGACCTCTGAATAGGACGGGCTGGTTTTTTTTTGGGCTCATCATTACAGGAGGGTCCTTCAACTTGATCCCACAACTTGGCGTGCATCCCTGTGAGTGACTCATACATATATATATATATATATATAATGTGTGTGTGTGTATATGAGTGAGCACCATACTGACGAGTCAGTCATGTGGGTGTGTGTGTGTGGTTTTTCGATTGTGCCCCGTTTTGGCAATGTACAAGGCATTCAAAAAGAAACACCGCATTGTGCGGGTCAAAATAACTGGCCGCAGTCGGTTGAAACTTGTCCAGCCTATCTGGGTGTGTTGTGTTGTAGGTGCGCTTGCTAATGGAACTGTATCAGTGTTATATACTGGAATCTAATTTTGCATTTTAGGGTTCACCAAATTTGGCCAATCAAACATATCAGGCTCGGTTTGGGAGAGGCTGAGGCAGATTATGACAAGTTCGCTGCTCTGCAGGGCTGGGTCAACATGAAACCAGGGTAACCCATCTTCTTGGTGGCTCCCAGCCATCCCCTTAGCTTTTTAGCTTTTTTACGGTTAAGTTTAGTGGTTGGGTTTCCGAATTTCATCCACTAAAGGTTAGCCATTTTTAGCCGGGGATCTGAAAACGGACAGATCAACAGATCGGAAAACGGAGCCTATTGGACAGCCAGGAAGGCCACTTTGCGGCACTTGCTGACGATGACCTCCGGCTTGGGCTACGAGGATTGCAAGGCCTACCAGGGCCTCATGAGGCACGGCCCGGAATCCGGAGAGAGGCAAAATACTGTGGATGGACGACATCCTGCACCACCTAAGAAAGCCTGGAATGATGATTCCCCTGTAAATACCTGCAAACATTGGTTTCCCATGGATTCAAAGTGGTGCAGGATTTTGTCCATCCACAGTATGTCAAAATGGTGGTGGTTTGAATGAATGAGAGTGCTCGTGGTTCATCTTTTGGTGAATCATGCCCTTTTCGCCTTTTGGTTTAGCTCCTTTTGGTGCATCTTGAGTGCCCCAAAAGGGTGGGTCCTATGGGCATCTGAGTTCCTTTTTTACCCTGACTGATTTGTTGCTGAGTGTGGGGTGATTTAGGGGGACAATAGGCTTCGTGCATTGGCCTGCCTGGCGCTCTCTGGATGGCGCTCTCTGAAAGTAAACCAAGCTTATGGGGTGTAGGTCCTTCAGCTTAGGGTCAGCTTTTGGTCCCTACGTTGGCTGGTTTGGCAATGGCATCTTGGTGGCGTTTGGTTTGAAAGAAGCTAAATGCAAATCCGATGCCATTGTGGTGTCCCCAATTTCAAAACCGACTCATGTGACATGTGTGTTTGTGAGTGTGTGTGTGTGCATCGGCAACTCTCAGCAGTTCTCACGCGTGAATGCGGTTGGTCAGCTGATCAACTTCAAAACGGAAGTCTGGAAAGTGTAGAACATGTCATTTGTTTGGTGCATTTTGCTTGGCTGTTAGGACTTTAACTTTTTGCCGACTAATGGGTTTTCCACTAAACCACTAAAAGTTAAACTTTTAGCAGGGAAGCAGAAAGCAACCGAGATGTATGGTCAACACATTTGCACCCCATGTTTGGGCTTAGTCCAAAAAGTTCTGCTGTGCCTTTCATGGCGCTCTTCCGTAACCTTGCCGGTTCAAAGGGAGAAATCACATGGCCACAGGACACAATAGGACTTTCACACCTTTTTAGGGTTTGGACCATCTTAGTGTTAAACAACTAAGTGTTCTACGGGTTGATTCCCCATTCTTTTCAACCACAAAACCTGCCGTTTCCTCTGGGTTTCGAGGGGTTTTCTAGAAAGAAGGATTCCTGGAAAGAATGGGGAAGGTACCCCTAGAAGTGGTTGGACTTTTTCTGGCCAAGCAACCGGATCGAATGTAAGACCTAAGACGAACTGCCGGGGACGAGTTGGCGAAGAGGTCGGTGCGGCAGCGCCGCACGCGGCGCTTGCGGAGCTTTTGCAAAGAGTTGCTTCGGCTGCCGCTGCGGTCTGCGCCGGGGAAGCGCTACGACTACAGCCGTTTGCACCCATCAGATCGCAAGAGACGCGCGGTTTTTTGCATTCCTAGAAACACCCTGGGGGGAGAGGGGGGAGCATTTTGCGGTTTGATGGCTATCAAGCAACCTTTTCTGAGATACCTGTAGGATATCTTAGAAGGACACCCTGCTTGGAGGTGAGGGTGGTTTCCCAATTTCCCCTGGGTTCAAATGCTCAAACCGCCAATCCAAACCACAAAGAGCTACCTGACTGCTTGCACGTTGCACTTTCCGCGGAGGTTTCGCCTACGACGTCTTGGGCCGGGTGTGCGAGGAGATCAGCGGCTTGCCGCTGCCAAAGTTCATGTCCAAGTACCTCTTCAGGCCTTTGGGGATGAAGGCGGGCGGCTCATAACTCAGTGCATGTGCATTTGCTTGGCATTATTATTTTGCTCAGCTCGCTTTCGTACACTCTTCAGAGGCGTTGGTTACATGTTTCCAGTATACTGTTTCATGTGTTGCTCCCGCTTGTGGGAAGTGGGAAGCAAACGAACGGGTCCATTCGCCGTTGATCTTGCACTCCTGCATGCGGTCCGTCTAGTTGGGACAACTTGTTCTGGGTAGTCGGTATCAGCACGCCTTGCCTGAGTGTTCCTCCTCTGTTGGATGAGCAGGGCACGTGGCTTTGTCCAGCACGGGCACTTGCTGTACCTTGCTTCTCCCAACGTGGTTCATCAGGCCTAGAGTCGTGCCCACTGCAGGACACCCACTTCACGGTGCCGGCCCACAAGAAGAAGCGGCAAGCGGTGCTGTACACGTCTAAGACACCTGGAAAGCAATGCTTCGCGAAAGTCCCCGAAGCAGCTTCCGCCTCGGATTTCGATGTTGCTCATTGGCATCCTTATGGTTTCGCGTTGAATCTGTCCCACGCAGGGACATCATCTTGCAAGAAAGGGAGCTGGACAAAAGGTAAGCCTTTTTTTGGGTTGCTGGCCAACAAGGAGCCGAAAGGGTACGGACTGAGCGAGGGGACTAGGCGGCACTTCCCTAAGTGATGCAATTGGTGCTTCCTACAAATTGGGGAGGTGATGTGCGACACTGGGTTCTTTTGGTTTCTGTAGAAGGTTGGCGGTCAAAGCGTAGTTGTGGAGAACTGGAGAATCTGGTTTTAGCACCACATCTTGTGTTGCCAAGGGAACCCCCTTCAAAGTGATCAAGTAGTCATGGGTTGAAAAAAAATGGTTGAAGCCCTACTCACTCCTTGAGTTCCTGGACTTCAAAATCTTTTTGGTTTGGACCACCTAAAAAGTTGGTTCCTTTGTTTGGCCCGTCGGAAGTAAAGCTACCTTTTTGGTTAAACTCATTGTAGCTACCCTTTTTGCTTGGCCACGTTGGTTCAGTCCCATCCAGGCGGTGTACAATGGTGTACACATCACCTTTTGGCAACCTTTTGGTTGCCATTGTTACTTGGGTGCATGTTGCTTGGCTGTTAGGACTTTAACTTTTTGCCAACTAATGGGTTTTCCATTAAACCACTAAAAGTTAAACTTTTAGCCGGGGAGCAGGAAGCAACCGAGGTTAGATGAGATTCCTGGTGCTGATGTTTGAGGGGAAATATCCGGAGCTCTTGTACCCTTTTTATGGATGGATCCACCTTTTTACTATGTACATGTATAAATATATGCACATGGACCCTTTTCGATACATCCATTGTGCGCCGATAGATAGATAGATATACAGTATCGAGTATTCATATGTGTATCAGGGAGCATATTCCGGAAATATCGATTTGTGGATATACACTATCTGTATCCGAGGAAGCTGAAGTCGAAGACGCCCCGCTACCGCCTGGCGCGCTTCCGCGGCGCTTCCGCGCCGGGGATCCTCAGCGGCGGCGGCGGCTTGGACCGAGTCCGAGTCGAGGGAAACCTTCGGTGGGCTCGCTCCGTTGCTTTGAGTCCACGCATGTGGTTTGGGTTTTTTTACGTTCTGTTGCTGCTGCTCCTTTGGTATGTGCAATTGATAGTAGGGCCAAAACCAGTGCCAAGGCGGCCTTCTCACAATTTCTCTTTGTAGGTATTCCCCCCAGCCCGGGACGTTTGGTTCTATGGCATGTGGGAATTCACTGTTGGCATGTGTCTTGGGTTTTGGGTTCTTTTCCTGCTGCTCCAGGGTTTGTGGAGCCCCTAAGGGTCACAAGAAAGATGGATGGTGGAGAGCCCTGCATTTCCCTCAAGCTTCCTTAAGGTTCATTTGTTGGCTCGGGCCTCCCGAAGTGGCGAGCGTTTCGCTGGAAACCACGAGGAAAATGCAACTGTTGAAGGGGAAATATAGTGATGCCTGGCAACTTCATGCTGTTCCGGGTTCCTTCTGGTGTCTTAAGGTCCTTTAACCCAAGCTTCACCGTTCTTGGTGTTATGTCTTTTGGCTGTTTGGTTCTGTTCATTTTCGGTAGGGGACTGGAAAAGAGAAAGTGCGTTGCTACCATACAAACGGTTGGAAACAAACCTTCGCGCGTATTTCCTTTCATGCTCCTCTCCACTTCCGAATGCGTCCTCTGGAAAACAACATGTACATTCACCCCGCGGATTTGGGGTTCCATGCTCATGTTCAGAGCAGTATGTTTTGGAGGTTGATTCGTTTGGGTGGGGGCATTGGCAATACCATGAGGCATCATGATTTTCTTCGTCATGGGGCTTCCTCATGTTCATATTTGGGTGTTTTTTAGCACTTTTAGTGCTCCGTCTGACTCGAAATCCAATTGTAACAGCGATTCAGTGGATGTTATTCTTCACCCCCCCTCCCCTTAAACTTAGAGCTCAGCTGACGAGGCGTAGCCACATATGGCCCGCATTAGTAGGACGGGTCTTACTTGGATCCGGAGTCCCCGCTACATAAACGCGTGATAGAACCTGGCGCGCCCATTGGTGATTCTAAGTTCCTCGTCGTTTTGCATTTTTTCCGCACCTCCTTTTCAGATAGCCCTTGATTGATGGTTTCGATAGGTGGTTTGGGGATTTGAGCCCTTGGTTCTTGTAGAGGGTAAATGGGAAGCCACCCCGTCCAAGAGGGAGGCTGACTTCATTCGCCAACGTATTGTTTTTGAGATGGTTGCAGCCCCAGCTGTGGTCGAGTCAATTTTGATGCAGTTTGATCCGGTAACCATTTCTTAGAACCTATACAACGGGTCACTGTCACCCAATCTATGAATTCCTGCTAACCCCTAGTTTATGGTTCCATTAGCTGTCAATGCACGCGGGTGAAAGTGGATGGCACAATTCCCTTTCTCCGTCAGAACGGAGGATGACTAAACCAAAATGACGGAATTATGTCATGTTTCCCCCAACTGCAATTGCAATGAATGAGGTCACATCCATTTTGTTAGAGCCCATTGCTTACAAATCATAGAGCCACCCCGCCCTCAGCACCAACCCAAGAAAATGGAGGACAAAACCAACATGAGCGAATCGGGTCCCATCTGAATCACCCAAGCTGAAGTGTCACCCAATTTGAAGGCAGTCACGCCCATTTCCTTCAGATGTCTTCGTTTTTGAACCCATTTCAGTGCATATTTTTTTGACAAAGAAAAAACCTGGAATTCTCATTGCAGAGATTGGCCCGCCTCACGTCTTTCAGGCGGGCTTCTGAGCTACGAGGACCCGGGCCTTTGGGGCAGCGCGGCGGACTACGCCAAGTTCCTCAACGCCCTGGCGGGCGGCAAGAGCCCATCGGGGCGTCAGGCGGACCTTCAGACCGTTCCTCGGGCTCGCGATCGAGGGCTTCTTCCATTGGCCGGAAAAAATAAGGCCCACGGGTTCATTTATGGACCTGCACTTACCTTTGGTTAAGAATATGTGTTTTTTGTTTCCCCCTTGTTGGTTTTAAAGGGAATCTATCACTACTGGACATGTTTGTATTTTTCTCAGGAGCTTAAGCAAAAGGAAGCATTTTTTCGCCACTCTGATACCAGGGGCTTGTTTGGGCGACTTAGCGAGCTCACCGAGCTGGGGTAACCCGAGCGAAAGCCGTGGTAAAGATCCTTTGCTTGGGGTCACCGCATGTTTTTGGAAGTGTCGTAAACTTCGCGGACCCATGGCGGCCCCTTACGCATTCCTCAAGTCAAAGGCTGATTCTATAGGTCAATATGAACCCGTGGCCATCTTGGAAAAGGGTGCGTAGCCCCGGCTGTTCAATGTCACTTCCATTTGCCCTCATCTCACTTCCTGAGTGAGGCACCTTTTAGGACGACCCTGGCAGGCAGTTTTCAAAGACTCTGAGGTCTTTGGGGTCAAGTCACGGGCCCAGTGAGGGCGATTGGTCTAGGGTAAGCTGAGCGCACGAAAAGTCTGCTAGCGAGCAGCAAGTCCCACCCTGGCAGATTTGGAAAGCTTCGACGGTGCGCAAGCTTTGGGAGGACTGACTCGCCAGGGGTGGATGGGGACCTGACGTGCTCAAGTCGAGCAATGCGAAGAACAACTCAGGAACTTGTTGTGCAGAAGTGGGTATTTACGCTCCCAGCTTAGACGACCCGCGGTATGTGCAAGCATGTGTTGCTCCTGGTGTAAGGTCCGGGTGCCCTTGTGGATATGTGACGACATGTTTGCAGAAGCACTAGGGTCAAAGACAAGCACGAGTTTAAACGATCTAAGCACAGAGACGCCTCAGCATGTTTTACGTGGTTTCTGCCATGCCGAGCAAAGGAGCTGTGAAAGCTTCATAGCCCAGCGTCACCTGTGTTACTTGTGTTGAAAGGCCCAGAGCACAACATGTTGTTTACACCGGCTGTGTGTCTCTTTTCATTTTCTGGGCGGAGAATCAGACAAGCAAAGTTGGTGCCCATCCCGCTGCAGCACTGCATGGGGCCTTAGGGTTCCCTGCGTTTCTTCTTTGAGGTTAAAGCATCACCCTGGTCAAAACCAATGGTAGCATTTTGGGGTAGGTGCACCACCCATTTTAGTCTATTTTAGGGGTCACTGGAATGTTCACTGGGGGTACGGGGTTTTGACCCATGGCCTGTGGCCAATGTAAAGTGGGATAAGAGTGAGTTGTCATTTTGTGGATGCTTGGGCAAATGTAGGAAGCCCGACCCCAAGCGCGACAACAGAAGCTCCCCAGGGCAAACAGATCTTTCCGCAGAATACTAAAGCGAAACGAATCAAATTGGCCCTTTTTGGTCTGGCTCGGTTGCGTCAGTTTGATTTGAAACCGGCAAGCGTGTTTGTGGATAAGTCTTCTTGCCGAGTTCAAATGACATGGGTGAGACAAATGCCTCGTTTCCGACGGGTGTTCGAACTGGCGAAAATATACTAACTCCGTGAGTTCCTGACTTTAGTCACTTTTTGGGTTTGGACCATTTTAGAAAGTCTGGACCAATTCAAAATGGCCAAACAAAGTTCAGTCAATGTTGGGGTTTGGACCATTTTCGTGGTACATAAAGTCTGGACTTCGTTTGGCCAACTTACTCGTTGGAAGCGTTTTTTTAGGGAGCCCCTGATCTGGAACCACCTCTTCCCCCCCCACAGGTCATCAGACCTTGGGGAGGACTCCCTGGCGCCCTTCACGCAGCCGGACGGCCGTTTGCCGGGCTGGCACGACGCAGATGGATCCGCCGAGGGCGGATGGTGGGACTTCCGGGGGCTGTCCTTGTTGCGCCTTGGGCACGTACCAGGCCTTCCCGGCAAGTGCTGCGGTTTCTTCGGCTCCCCTTTTTTTGATCGCTTCCTGAGTTCCTGGACCGCACACGTTTTGGGTTTGGACCATTTTGGTAGGAAACAGAAGTTTAGACGGGGTCTGCCCAGTCCATTCAGGAGCCTTGAACACCTCCCAAAATCAAAGTGGTGAGGTTTTAGACGTGGGCAGTTTCTTGGCTGCTGGGCTCGATCGTTGGAACTGCTGGGCTCGATCGTTCGCCTGGAAACTGTGGAGTTTCCCAAAAAAACACAGACGATTGCGTTTGGGCAGGCAATGGCGCTGTTTTTAGACAAGAGTGTCCCTTAGAAGAGAGATTGCTTTGCTTTTAGGCTGCCCACCCTTCTAGCAGAATTTGCTCCTTGTGGATACGTGGTGCATGTGGGCGGCTTGTATTTTGTTGAGTTGGTAGCGCCATTTTAGTGGGTTCCCAAAACAGACACACCCACGCCCATGTTGCAAACTCAAACCCTAAAAAAGCACAAACCTCATCGGGTGATTCCTGGAGTTCATTTCGGCACCCCAAATCGTCCCCTCCCCTAAAGATGTCAGTTAGGGATAAAGCGTGTTCTGAAACTTTCTGTTAGAGATGTATCCTGGGCTTGCAACATGAAGTGAACCCGTTGGGAAAGTGAAGTGTGTGGGTGGGTGGGTGGGTGGGGGCTGGGTGGGTGGGGTGGGTACCTTTCACTCATTTGTTTGGCCACAGCTCATGTCCGCAAGCCAAAGGATGGCTGTTGCAGCACATCGGATGAAGCAGACTGAAACCTGAGACTCGCTTCCCAGTTAGTGGACTTTCAACCTGTGAGCTCATGGCGTGTCTTGTGAGGGTACCCTTTTCAGGTCGTTTAAAAGGAAAGCAAAGGGAAAGCCCACCATTTGGTGGGTCCAAATCTCGATTTGGAAGCATATCCTTGTGGCAAACAAGTCCGGATATGTTCAGATCCACTTGGAAGTGAGTCAAAACTGCAGGGAGTGGGCCAGCGTTGCAGGTCATGCATTTGATCAGCCGCGGGAGGCATTTGGCGGCCACAACCATACTCACCCGGACTTCTTTTGATGATTGACGACCATTTTAGTGGTAAATACGGTTGGGCTTGTTTTGGCCACTCCACTCGTGAGCGGTTGGCCCTGAGACGTTGAGAGTTCAGCGTTCAGGGAGATGGTCCTCATGAACTTGGGACCCCTGAAAGCTATGCAGCGCACCAGGCATCCCAGTCAAAAAAGACCACCCGGCGTGATGAACAGGTTGCAGAGAAGGAAGATCCCGAGAACTTGTTGATGTGGAGTGTTTTTGTGTCAAAGCATGGCATTGAGGCAGGCGCTTCTTCCAGAAAAAGCTGGGCCACGACTACTGTGCTAAGCTTTCGTGCTCCAACAATGTGTTTAAAGAACAAACGAAAGAGTTTAAGTCAATTGGTTTGCGAAGCACATCATGACTAAGGCATTCATACTTGGATTTGGATGAGTCCTGGCAGCAATGGCGATGGTTTCCAAGTGAAAGTTTGTTCAAGGGGTAGAAATTCAGGAGTGGCCGGCATCAAAACTTGGGGTCCTTTCTTTTGGAGCCAAATTTGAAGTGGCCTTTGTGGGTTCTCACAATGCATTCCTTCCTTGGAATTCTTTTGGCCCTCCCCCAAAAAGTGCCAATGGCGTGGCAAAAGACCCTCCAGGCTTCAGAGTTCAGTCAGCTTGCCGCGATGTTGCCACTCTCCCCGCCTTAAGTTGCGCCTGGGCCAGTCTTCAGCAACTGGGCCTAAGCCCACATCTTTCTGGGAGCCGCGCTGGGAACTCTCCGAACCAGCCTTGTTGCATTTTCCAAGCAAAACAAGCCGACCTGAGAAAGAAGGAACGCCCCCCCCCGCCCCAAACCCCAAAAGACTCCACAGGGGCTTTGATCTTTGTCCCAGACACACCGTTCTTTTCACAGCCTAGGAGCCTCCGAAGCGAAGGCGAGGTGCGAAGCCTGAGGCGCGGGATCGCTCGGCTCACTGCCTGGCCCAGCTGGCAAGCAAAAAGAGTTTGCCTAGGTCCCCCTACTAAAATAGAAAAAAATCGAGGAAAGAAACGAAGAACAAAAAGGTATTCTAACCTCTCTACTGGAGGACCTAGTTGCACTTTTTGGCCAGTTCACTGAAGTGAGCCAAAGGTGCTGATTGGCGGCTGCCACTTGGTTTTGTCCAACCACTTGGAAGAGTCGCTTGGCTTTCGATGTGAAAGGGACCACTCAAAAGTGTGAAAGCCCTTGCCGTCATGTCTCTCGACAAGGGGGCTCGTAGACTAGGACGAACATGCCTGCAGCTCGAGTGGGAAAAGTGGGGAGTAGCCCCGAGCACTTGGCCTGCGTCCCAATTCAAGCCAGGCGGCATTCCTGACGCTCATGTTAAGAGCTTTGACAGATTTCACGCCTTGTGCAGGTTTCTCATAGAGGGGCAAAGGCACGGAGACCCGGTTTTGACAGGCAGCTGGCTTTCACCCAGCCGAAGGATTCTCAACCCTCAGAACCTTAGCCCCGGTAACTCGCTTTACTGAAAGCACCGCCTAGGCAAGGAACATCCATCGATGGGAGGGTCGAACATACCCAGGCAGCTCAGTTTGATCGGAGCAATATATCATTGGGAAGATGTTGTTCCCTTTGGGCGGGTTAAATGAACATATTCTGGGATGAATGGAGATGACTCTTAGCTCAGGCAGCCATCAACGGATCTCGAGATAGAATCAAGTAATGCCTTGGGCAAGCCCAGGGATGCGTATTGCAGGCTGCGTGTTCAGTCGGAGCGCGGCGCTCAACAGATTCGCACGCGATTCGCACGCCGATTGAATAGGTTGCAGCACTGAATTTGGGTATGTCCGTTCGCGGTTTTCAGTCAGGTAGGACCTTTTCCAAATTCGACGAGTTGGCACGCGTCCCAAACATTGCCGGACAGATGGCCAGCCCACAGGATTCCCGGACCCTTCTTGCCGCTTTGGTTTGGGAAGGATCCCCCTCATACTCAACCAGCCAAAAAAAAGATGCCTTTTTTTGCCCATGGAAACCCACGGGCTTCTCAGAATGGCGAAATGAACGGTGGTCCAGATTCAAATGAGCTGACAAAACACCTTGCCAACAGTCAGCTGGCCCCAAAAACAACCAGCCTTTCGGTGCAGCCTGCCAGGCTCGAAACTCATCTTCCATGTGGTTCAGCTGCTTGGATCAAGTCTGGCAAGCCAAACATTGAGGGGCAAAAGCTGCTTGAAGGTTTTGATTTGACTTGGTTCTCCAAAGCTGAGCTTAGGATCTCGCTGCCCGGTTGCTAATTCGAGATGTCACGCTTGATTCCTTGTGTTTTGCCATGGTATGTGAGGGTTAGGTTCACGTAAGCAATGCGGGGCACTTGCTTTTTTTTTGTCCGATTATTTGAACATCACCTGCCTGGGGCGAAGGAACACCATGTCCAGGTCACCCACAGGTGATTCGATCAACCTCCGATGTGGAAGAAAAAAACCGTGCTTCGAGCTGAGGTGGCGGGGGAGGAGCCTTTTGGACGATGGAAAAGGGCGGCATCGCCACGGTGTCCTTTGTTCAGACCCTTGGGGGCCGTGAGGCGCGGGTTGACGCAAGTTTCAGCTTCCATCTCCAGGATGTTGTGATGGTTTTTGGGCCTGTGCAGGTTTCAGAGCTGCAAAAAACAATATGTGCGTGTGTTTTTTCTTTTTTTTCTGAGATGTAGGTACTGGAAAAAAAATACGCGTGAAATGAATTGATGCAAAAGTAGTTCCTGATGTGTTGCATACACGTGGCTGCTCCTAACTACTTGTTTATTGTTCTTACAATTTGTCTTAATAGTTTCTTCGCATGATGCTCAAAATGCAAAGATATATATATATATATAGATATATATATATATACATGGCAGAACAGACAACGAACATCCCACCAAAACTGACATGTCGCAAAACCTACTGTCATCTCCTCTCCTCAGTCTCAGTACCAGCAAGCTAGTTTCTGTAGTTCTTCCCATGCTTAAAGTTGTCTATGTGCTTCTCTTTAGACTTGCGATTTTTAACTTAGTTGCAAGCACAGAGGTAGCCTCGGGGAGGGGGGGTATACAAATGTATATATATATATATACATACAGACACATGTATAGAAGCACATATATATATATATATATATATGTATATATATATATAGATATCAGCTTTTGGATGGATGTCCGCGTTCAAAATGATGCTCTCGAAAAGTAGCCTTGCAGGAAGTGCCATAAGGAGCCGTAGTGTCGCCTCAGCTCCCCTAAATGAAAAACTGCGAAAAGTTTCCCCAGTTGAATATTTGAAGTGATTCTAGCAGTGGTGGGGTAGCTAGCTCATGGACTGTAGTGTCAGGCTCAGCCTGTGCATGGCAGAGTTTCCCTGAATGCAGCCACAACACAGGCCGCTGGCAGAAGGCTTTGCATCGGGAGGCTCTAGCCCCGATGCACGAGATTTCCAGATCGCAAGTGGCGGGGAGACTCATTTTCTGAGTTTGACAAGTTTCCTGGTGTTCGCTGTCATGCTCCAGGGCGATCAGAGACATCAGAAGCAGCAGGGTGAGCGAGCGAGTTTGTATGCAGGACAGACGTCATTCCAGGCGGTCTAATGCTGCCCTTCATCACCCTTCTTGTCTTCACCTTTCTTTCTTTCTTCCAGACGCCTCGCTGATCTGATGCGGCAGGGCCTTTTCGCCGCCGTCTGCCCCACCAACTTCTTATGCCAACTTCTTGTCCCAAGCACGTTGCGCTATGTTGCGCTGATTGCCTTGCTCATCTCACTACTTGGTGGAGCAACCTGGGGCCCAAGCGCTCATCACAAGGACTGACCCTGCAGCTGCATGCCCCACCTGCCAGCCTCTTCACGTCCCTGTTTATTTCATTGGCCTTTCCAAGAATTGACTGATTCAATTGGCAGAAGCCAAGAGCCAGCCAGCAGGCCGGTTGTCGCGTGCCAAGTGTGCTGGTGGCAGAATTGGATGTGACTCAAAATAAGGATTCACCATCTGGGATGGCTTGAAGGGGAAGCCAAAGGAGAAGCCGCCATGTGGAGGCACCTTACATATCAGCCACGGCATGGGGTCTGGCGCCTTGGTGCACACACTCTAGCCCCGGCGACGAGGTTGGCTTGCAATGTTCATGATTGATCAGGTGTGCTGTGTGCGCGTGTGCGTTGAGAAGCGTTTAGGATGCAGCAATCAAGTTTCGATGAGAAGCCGGGAGGCCCAGCCATCCTAACTCAGATGATCCTTCCATTGAGGCCAACATTCAGGCGTGGCCATAGACTTTGTTGTCAGCAGTGTTGGCCACGCCTTTGGTGACATTTTGGTACAAGTGAAGGCATAAAGCATCAGCCAAAGCCAAGTAGAGCCACATGAAGCGGCGGTGCTTGTAGGCAGCTGCATGTTTGTAGTCAGTGCCGGGGAAGTCAAGACGGGGGCAGGATGACGGGATCGCTGTTTCTCACGCACCCACTCACACAGGCGTGCGTGCGAACATTGCAAGTCATCCATCTTCACAGCCCTTGCTTTGTGTTGGCCAGCAGGCTCAGGCAAGGCGAGCATTTTGCACGCTGCGTGTGGAAATGCAGGATAGGCGACGACGGTCTTTTGCTTTTGCACACACGCACACGTGCTCAGGCATGCATGCACACATTGCCCTCCATGGCGGATGTGTTTGGCAAGCGCTGGGCGCTCCCGGTTTGCAGAGTAGATGGAAAAATAGTAACCACTCGGGCTATTGCGAGGCTACAGGAACCCGATGGCTCGATCGGATCGACAAGGTCCGGGGTGACTCTCGTTGGGCCCGCTACTTGGCCGGGTAGATGTAAAGCGAAGCGCGCACAGGACGTGTCATAGTCCAAAAAGAGTTCTCTACGCAGCGTTTAGGCTGCAACTGCCCAAAAATCCGGGTCGCCCTCAGCTTCTCCCTGTCGCTTTTTCTTACTGTACTCTTCTCGTAGTCCTTCGTCAGCCTTCCTGCACACCGTAGTGTTCCGGCCTTCTCGGTAGTCTTCCCGTACTCTTCCCTTTGATGTTGTCTTCGCTCAGCCGAAAGAGAACTAGTCTTCCGTTGTTTTCCGCAGTTTCGCCAAAAGGCAGAGGGCGCGCGCTTCGGGATATACCTGCCTAGACAAGGCTGGGTCGCGCACCCTGTCCTTTCATTGTCTCCCCTCTTTCCCAGCAGTCCCCGTAGTCTTTGCTTTGCACGCCTGTCACCTACTGCTAGAGAACAGGCGCTGCTGTCAACATATCAACGTTTCTGGCAATGCTTCAACGGAGTCTCCCTTACAAAGCTCGTTGTAAGGCTCCTTACTAGAAAATTATGCACGGCTCCTTTTGCAAGCTCCTTACTGGTTCAGAATGCGTCTTTTAGCATGTTGTCTTGTTTTTTCGCAGAGGGCTCCTGACAAGGCGTTAAAAGCTCAAGAGCCACGTCCTTTGCGTTTTCCGCGCGCTGCCTCTTGTAAGGGTGTCAACCTGCTCCAGGGGAACAAGGGCCTCGAGAACTAAGATTTGATTCTTTACGGCTGGCTAAAGCTCCAAGGAGATTGAGCAACTAAATAGGGGAGGACACGTCAAGAGCCGGGCCAACTATTGTTTCCAGATTGTTTTGTGGGGTATGCTTGTTGCGCATTGAATGAAGCAACTTGCTGGAGTGAATTTGGTTTCGTCCGCGTGTGTCAAACTTGCCGTTGGGCTTGAGACTGCGCCAAAAATTAAAGAGAGACAGCTGACCCCTGGAATTCTGTGCGCCACATTCCTGTGGCCAACTGAAAGGGTTTTAGTGGGATGCAATTCTGGACGCATCGGAGTACAACGGATGCAACACACTGCCGGCCCAGCGCCGCTTGTCAGGACGACACTGACGGACTGGGCCCCTTGGCCTACCGCTTGGCTCCGTGCCTCTGAGGCACTTTTCTTTTCCCCATGGCCGCCGGGCGGGTTGGGTAAGGCCGTGGATCGCATTTTAATTCTCTTTTAGTTCTTCGGTATTAACCAACAGGTTTAGCTGGCCATGGACAGTGGGGGAGCAAGGGATATCAAATGGGGAAGTTGGGAGCTTTAGTTCTAAGGGGAGCTGTCCGTTTCAGCCGCTTGCCTCGCGCTTGACTTCGCGCGAAAGTCATTAAGTCCCAAAGTTGGACGTGCGTATTCGGGGAAAATCTGCGCGGCGGCTCCTTCGACCTCGCTTCCCCAGCTAAATCGAAACGCTCAGATCGGTTTTTCCGAATCTGTGACCATCAAAGCGGGGCCCTTTCCGACTCCCAACCTGCGGGTTGAAGCAGCCAAGCCCCACAGTCAACCCAGTCACGTGAAGAGCGGACAGAATGACCAGTTGGTTTTGGGCAGGTTTTTGTCAGTTTTGCCGGCTGATGAGTATGAGTGCACAGGCGCTCGGGGTTCTGCACAAACCCCGATCGGACCCTTAGGCTGGAAGACTACTGTCCGTTCTTTCAAAGTCCTGTGTACTGCCTGTTTCCAGTTATTCAAGCTGGGCTGTTCCAATCATCCTTATGCCAGAGGGTAGTGGCTTCCCTTCCACGAGTCAGTGCGTACTCGGAATTTTTCACTTCTGACCATTCGAGCGTCAAATTCATCGCCCAGGCAGGAGTCCCTCCGCACGGACGCCAGTGAAGAAGCTGCCCAAGTGGAGAGGTGAGAATCGTTCGGGTCGGCTTCACGTGCAACACGCGGGCAGTACAGAAGTGTGGCCTTGGCGGTTCCCAGTTGTCCTTTTCGGCGTTTAGGTTTTTAGGGTTTAGTCGGGGGGTCCATTTCACCCACAAAAAGTGAAGCTTTTAACAGGGGATCGGAGGACAGCCCAGTAGATGTCGATTCCTGCGATACTAGAATCCACTTTTCGGTGAGAAAGCTGTGGGTGAAGGACGTAGGAGCAGTAAAGACCCCTGAGACAATGGTCTGCAAGCTCAAGACAATTAAAGACGTCCCTGAAATAATGATCACGAACATCCCCCTCAAGTGGGCACCTTCTTCGCTGCCTTGCCGAGTCAAGACCCTCTGGACGCAACGGCAGAGAGAGCGAGAGAGAGAGAGAGAGAGAGAGAGAGAGAGAGAGAGAGAGAGAGAGAGAGATCCCCCCTCCTTTCCGTTTCGTTTTCGTACTGCTTGATTGGATTTTCCAATTGAATTAGATTTGTTGATTGGGGCTGCAACAAATCTCCCCCCCCCCGTCCGAAAAAAAAATAATAATAATGCATTTTTCCCTCCTCAAGTACTCCCCCGATCCCCCCCCCTGTGTGGGATTGATTAGGGCAACCTCTTTAAATGAAAGTATGTGAGCACATTTGAGGTTGCTTTATTCCCCGAAAAAATGTAGTCTTGACTCTCTCTTGACTCTTCCTTTGCTTAAGTGGTTTTTGAAAAATAAGTCAGTCTACGATAATGCCATAACCTGAAGCAAGGGAGCCCTAGGTAACCGACTTGCTTCCCTCGAACCGGATGAAGAAAAGGGGGACCACTCGACACTTGATGACTATTCTTCCCCTCCCCAAAAGTTTCACTTTTGCAAAGGGACGATGTTTCTTGCCCAAAAATAACAAAGGTTAAAGCTCCAACCCAACAGCATATGTTTGCACCTTGGCGCCGGCGCAGTGGGCAAGTCAACAAGCAGATGCAAGCACGGGTCCTGCTCTGGGCGACTCACTTGTCCAAAGGACCTAAACCAAAAAACAAAGTAGAACCTTCGGGGCCGTGACATACTGTGGATGGACAAAGTCCTGCACCACTTAGGAAACCATGGTTTGTTGGCATTTATAGGAGAATCATCCCTTTGCTGCCTCTTAGTTGGTGCAGGATTTCGTCCATCCACAGTAGAATCGCTTGCCAAACCGTGAAGCACCAAAAGGCCGAACAACAAGTTGATTCGCTTTGGGTGAGTAAGGGCGGTTCATGCTGATGGAAACTCTGCGACTTTCCGAAGTGGCCACAATAGACCTATGATTCTGACCCCCCCCCCTCCGCCCCTCAACAATGGATCTCTCTAAAACAGATGAGAAACCCCCACCCCGAATCGGTATGTCCAACAATCGGGGACCGCCTCGTTCACGGGGGGAACGCCAACCAGCAGGAAACCAACTGCAACTAGGTTTAGGTGTCCCCTATTGTTCATCACCTCTCTCTCACACATTCACCGGCCTTCTGGCTGTTCGCACTACCAACCCAAAGGGGGGCCACCATGGTGAGAAACCGCGAACAGTTTCTCAAGTTCGCCCACTTGCGTGAAAAAAGCAATGCAACTCTGGTTGGTCTGTGAAGCGTTCCGGGTGCAACAAGATGAAGGGAAACAAAAAGCGACCATTGTCTTCCGTTTGCTTAAAAAGGCTTTAAAGGGAATCTATCACTACTGGAAATATTGTTGTTTTTTTCCAGGGGGATTGAGCAAATGGAGCCCGGAAGCTTTAGGGGACCAATTCCTGTTCCGAGAAACGCTCCGTTGTTGCCTGGTTGTTGGACGTATCCTTTCAGGCACCCCGAACCCCCCGGCCACGCGCAATTGCCAGGCTGCGTTTGCAGCTCGCAAGATCCGAGGCGAGCGAGCCGAAGCACTTGCTGTTTGAAGGGTCCATGCTGCGTTTCCAGGAACTCAAGTGGGTTGGTGATGTGTCTAGGTCCCCCAGCTAGGTGCCCGCTCTTTTACCCCTTTTTTGGGCGGAGCTGTTCCCCTACTAAAATAGACTACAGAGAAAAGGGCACCCTTATTCTAACCTCTCTACTGGAGAACCTAGTTGTTCAGGTTGTGTTTCTTCGTGGTATTTTTGCTTTGTATTCGTGTATTTCTTGCTTGTTGTTGTGTTTGTGTTTTTTGTTTTCCCGAGCCTCCCCAGTGGGGCTCGCTTAAATTTTACCAACAAACACGTGGCGCTGTTTTCTCCATGGCCATGGGAGGGCTTTTTGAGTGAACGTGGGCGGGAGTCGCGAGGCATGATCTGAGCCTTACTGGGCGGTTTGGATTGTTTGGATTGATGGTCTCAGGTTCTCCTTTAGTGTGTTTGTTTGCATCTTGGTTCACCTTGCGCTTAGTGGGCGGTTTGGATTCAGCTTGCCCCATTTTTGGCGCACGAGCCTATTCGCCAGGGAAAAGTGCATAGCGAGCAGGTCGGCGGTCCATCTGGACCGGAAAGATCGGGGACAAGGGCACGGGCAAGAACAAGGGCAAGGACAAGGGCAAGCAGGGCAAGAAGGGCAGGAAAGGCCCACCGGAGCCTCCGTGGAGTGGAGGAGGTCCAGGAGCGGCAAAGGAAAAGCCGCTAGAGAGCCCGCGGCCCCTGAGCCAGAGGAGCCAGAGGAGCCAGAAGAGCCAGAGGAGCAGAACGAACCGGAAGAGCCAGAGCCTTCCCTGCCGGGGAGCCCTCTCGCCTTGGCCGGCCGCTGCGGTCTCGGAGGGGAGAGGGAGGTCGTATATACTGCTCAGAACACGAAGCAGGACCTCCGGGCTGAGTCGGCTGAGGAGAGCGACTGGGGGCCCTGGCAGTCGGCGCGCAGGGTCGTGCCTCGGGAGCCAAGCTACCCGACGCCGCAGAGGTCCCAGCGCAAGGAGCTTTTCACCAGCACCCAGAAAGGGTGGAAAGACAATCGGCGGTCGCAGGAGGCCCGCCATTATAGGATCCTTTAAGGCCTCATCAAGCTTGCGAATAAGAAAGGGGAAAGGGTGCCCAGAGAGGTTGAGATTGAGGTTCAGCAGCTCGAAGAGGCAGCGCCAGGCTGAGGCAAGCTCAGCAGCGCCGAAGACCCCACCGAAAGCTCCTGTTACGCCACCCAAGGCTGCGGCGCCGAGTTCACCTAAGGATCTACCTGGACTTGGACGGAGGCCCTTGGACAGAAGATCACGGTCCATCCAAGAATTGGCTTGGCCCGAGTGAAGCGTGGTGCGGCGACACCTGACACTGCCCTCGCAAGCAACTACAGGCTGCGGAGGGCGGCCGTCTCGGAGACCCTCTTCTTGACCAAGGCGAAGGGTCGGTTGAAGTACCGATTGCCAAAGCGGTGCTGGGTCTCGACGGCTTGAGTGTGCCGCGCAGCTCTTGTGACGAGCGGAACACCTCGGCGCGGCCAGCTATCCTGGCCCGGGCGGCTGCTCTGTTTGCGGGAGTAGGGGACTCGGTATTGGGACCCTCGCCAAAGCTCCCGAAAATTTGGAAGAGCCCGCCGCCGAAGGCCAAGGCACCGGCGGTACAGCAGAAGGAGCCCTCCAAGCCAAAGGCAAGCAAGCCTAAGGAGGAGCCGCCAAAGAAAGAGAAGGAGGAGCCGTCAAAGAAAGAGAAGGAGGAGCAAAGAAAGAGAAGGAGGAGCCGCAAAAGAAGGAGAAGGAGGAGCCACAGAAGAAGAAGGTGAAGAACGAGCCCAAGGAGGAGACCCGAGTGATCTTGAAGGAGGCCCCGGCGGTGCCGAAGGTGGTGTTGGTCCCGAAGCCAATGCATCCACCGAAGCAGCCACCACCACCACCGCCATCTCCAACTCTGAGTGAGATTTTCACGATCGGGCTGAGCCTGACTCGGGATCTTACACGCGTTACACAGAGGAAGAGGAGTCCAAATCGGACTGACCTCCCGGTGCGTGGCACTGGACTTTGGGAATGGAGGAACAAATCAGAGAGTTGCAGGCAGCAGCAGAGAGGTTGGCACAAGAGAACCAGGTTGTTAGACAGGGCCAGGCTTGTCTGGCTACACTGGCCGAGAATGTAGGAAGACTGGCCAACAGCATGCAGAGAGGAGATCGGAAACTCTTGATAGATACCAAAGGCATCGGAAGACCTGAGGTTTTCCCAAACGAAGATGGCAGTTTCCGGAGATGGGCACGGTCAGTGGTCAATTTAACAACCGCAATCTTTGGGTCGAGTTTCCAAACTACAGAACATCAACAAATGTAGGGTGAGTGCGGACAAGAGAAGGGAGAAAATGGACAAAGCTGTAGCACACTTGCATACTGCCTGTAGCTTCTACAGGAAGCAAGTTGAGGCTGGCAGATTCTTTCTGCATGAGGCACCGTGGAGTGCCACATCATGGAAGGA